TAGTATGGGGCTATGGTTTGGATCTGTGCTGAAAACAGTGCTGATAACACAAGGATGTTTTCCTTATTGCTGAGCAGCGCTTACACAGAGTCAAGACCTCTTCTGCTCCTCACCCCCCCGCAGCGAGGAGGCCGGGGGTGCACAAGGAGCTGGGAGGGGATGCAGCCAGGACAGCTGACCCCCACTGACCCCAGGGATATTCCACACCATGTGGTGTCATGCTCTGCATGTACAGCTGGGGGAGGAAGGAGGGAGATGTTCAGAGTGAGGGCATTTGCCTTCCCAAGTAACAGTTAATGCGTGAGGGAGCCCGGCTCTCTTGGAGACGGCTGAGCCCCTGCCTGCCCATGGGAAGGGGTGAATTAATTCCTTGTTTTGCTTTGCTTGTGTGTGTAGCTGTTGCTTTCCCTATTAAACTGTCTTTATGTCAACCCACAAGTCTTCTCACTCCTACCCTTCCAATTCTCTCCCCCATCCCACTGGGGGGGAGTGAGCAAGCAGCTGGGTGGTGCTTAGGCTTCAGTTAAACCACGAGAGTCCTTTTTTGGCACCCAATGTAGGGCTTGAAGGGTTCAAGATAATGACAGGTTTGATTGGAATGTACTAGATCAAATTTATAGCTGTTATTGCTGTTTAGCTATTAATTGGCAGGCTCCTGTGCCTGCCATGGGGCTTGCTTGCCTTGCTGTATGGTAGGGTCTAGTGCTGATTAGTGGCTGCTTTTCGCTTTCGCTGCTTGCTGCAATGCTGTATTGTCTGACTGCTGTGCCTGGGCATGTTCTGATAACAGCAATGGCCAAGTGCCTGAGCCGGCCAATGGCCGGGGCATCGCTGCTGGTTCTGTGCTGCTGCACTGGCCAGGCTGGCACTCCAGTGGGACCTTGAGTCAAAGGGACTGTGCCCTGTGGATAGGTCCATGTGGGAGCAGGACACCCCAAAGCGTCTGTGACTGTGGATAAGTCCACACCAAAGCAGGTACATCTCGAAGCGTCTGTGGCCGTGGTTATGTCTGTGCCGCAGCAGGTACACCTCTGAAGGCATTGTGGCCCAAGGATAAGTCCACGCTGGTGAAGGTACACCTGAGAGCATCTGTGGCTGGGGATAAGCCCGTGCTGCAGCACTTACACCTCAAAGAGACGGCGGCTGTGCATGTGGTCTTGCTGGAGCACCTCAAAGCATGTGGCCACGGATAAGCCCATGATAGAGCAGGTACCCCCCTGGAGGGACTGCAGCCATGGGTGAGGTCGCATTGGAGCAGGGTCACTTCTGAAGGGACTGTTGCTGCAGGTGCGGCCACACCAGAGCCAGGTACATCTCTGAAAGTGGTGTGGCCCATGGAGAAGGCCACATGGAACAGGCACACCTCAAAGCGACTGCGGCTGAGGACAAGTCTGTGCCACAGCAGGTATAACATAACCGTGGAGAGACTGTGGCTCATGCATAAGGCTCCACTTGGAGCAGGTACACCCTGAGGGACTGCAGCCTGTGGGTAAGTGCAAGCTGCAGCAGGGGCAAGGGGAGGAGTTCACTGCAATGTCAAATTTATAACCTGGCTCACAGGGACCAGGGGTGGAGACTGTAATGGAAATACCTTTAAACTGTTGTAACCCAGGATTTGAGTTGCACATTATAGGAATTACTATAGCAGGAACCACCTGAACCTAGGAAGCAGAAGCCTCACAAGAAGCAGTGCAAGTGCAGCAGTGACCAGACCTGAGCTGGCTTTGGTGCCCAGAAACTCCACACAACACCCCACCTCTCCTGTTTCGAGTGACCACCAGAACAGATGGAGCCCGAAGCCATGGACTAAACGAACTCAATGGACATTTTGTGGACAATTCACAGGGGTGGTTTGTAGACTAAGGGAATGATTTCTGTGTATTATATCAAAGTATGGGGAGGGAGGTGGTGGTTAATGAGTGTATGTTGGATAGCACGAGACCTCAGCGCGATGTAAATGGTGTGGAATAAGGAGTGGAGAATGGGCTGGTTTTGGGTGCGAGTTAATTTTCTTCAGTAGCAGCTAGTATGGGGCTATGGTTTGGATCTGTGATGAAAACAGTGCTGATAACACAAGGATGTTTTCCTTATTGCTGAGCAACGCTTACACAGAGTCAAGACCTCTTCTGCTCCTCATCCCCCCGCAGCAAGGAGGCCGGGGGTGCACAAGGAGCTGGGAGGGGATGCAGCCAGGACAGCTGACCCCCACTGACCCCAGGGATATTCCACACCATGTGGTGTCATGCTCTGCATGTACAGCCGGGGGAGGAAGGAGGGAGATGTTCAGAGTGAGGGCATTTGCCTTCCCAAGTAACAGTTAACGCGTGATGGAGCCCGGCTCTCTTGGAGATGGATTCTTTGTTTTGCTTTGCTTGTGTGAGCAGCTTTTGCTTTCCTTATTAAATTGTCTTTATCTCAACCCATGAGTTTTCTCACTTTTTTACCCTTCTGATTCTCTCCCATCCCACGGGGTAGGAGTGAGCAAGCAGCTGGGTGGTGCTTAGGCTGGGGTTAAACCACAACACAGCTAATTTGAATACAACTCAGCCATACGCAGATATTAAAGGCTTCACTGGATATGCAGAAAAGGACAAATGCTGAAACTCCTTATTCTGATCTTTTTTTGTATTTTTTTTCTATCGTGTCTTCAAAGAATCAGCTCTTATACCTTCATTTCCTGCAGATCTGATGGGACACTTCAAGCACACTAGAAAGTACCAAATAAGTCTTTGTGATCTTTCTTTCATTGAATTATCTAAACTCTTACATTTGGCTGCCATAATGTTCTGTGGTAGAGTTCCTCGGCTTAATTACATGGCATGAAAAAACAAGGGCTTGCATTTTGAGCCCACTTCACCTCATTTCATTTGATGCCTGTTCTTGCACTAGAAGAAACAGGAGTGATCGTTCCCTACTCTGTGCTGCTCATAACACCCCTCTTTTCCTGGCTGAACACTCCCAGTTATGTAATCATTCCATACATTCATTAGTTCTGTCTCCATGATTCCTTCCAGTTGTAAACTATGCTGATGTAAAGCTGTCTAAAACCAATTTTAGTTAAGCTTTTGCAACTTTCAGAGCACTTTGCTATGCATAATGTCCATTTTAAATGGCACCACAGCCTGTCTCCTCGCAAAAAGAGCAGAACCATGCTTTTTTGTTCAAACTTTGTAGGAGATATCTTTGTTCCGATGTGAGGCTGATTTAACTGACACAAACCCAACTTTTGGGGGTACTGAATTATTTTTCAATTAATGAAAAAAATGCTGAAAACTGTCTTTTAACTGGTGGTTGCTCATTATACCCTAATGGCTAATGGTGGCCGACAGTTAAATTATGACAGCACATGGCTCTTGGATTCCAGGAAACACAGAATGTAAAAGGTAAATATATACACGGTACATTAGATAAATTATATAGTATGGAGAATTGTACATCAGAATTGAAAGGATATGTAGTAACTATGCTTTAACATTAGACAAATTATATAGTATGGAGAACTGTATTTAAGAATTTAAAGGATGTGTAGTAGCTGTGCTTTAACTATGCTGCCTTATGCTCTGAGGGGAAGGTCAGCCAATTGCTGGAGGCCCGAAAGAAGCAGCAGTTTGAATCTTCAGGACCGCAGAAACCCAACTGACACAGACACTCAATACTGCGGTACCAGCCCTTGTCACCCACCGGACTACAGGGAAAAAAAAAAAAAAAATATATATATATATATATCCCCAAAATTTGTGAATCCCAACCCGGGAGAACTATTTCCCCACGCCGTGTCCGTGCCCGGGCGGGACCGCGGCCGCACGGGCACGGCCTCGGGCCGCTCCACCTCTGATGATTTAGCAGGGTTTGTAGTTTCTCCGTCGCCACCGATGCAGCCCCACGACCGGCGCCCGACCCCACCGGGGCCCGGCCCGGCCTCGCCGCCCGCCCCGCCACCCGGCCTGAAGGGCGGCGTTGAGGCCCCCGCACCCCCGGCCCGCCCAGGCCCCGCGCCGCCGCCGCCGCCCGCAGACCCCCCTCTCCCGGCGGCCGTGCCGCCTCGGCAGGCCCCGCCTCGTCGGGCTGCCGGTGCCGGTGCCGCAGCCGCCTCAGCCCCCGGGGAAGGGCGAACAAAGGCCGGGGCGCGGCGCGGCCCGGCACAGACATCACGTCATGCGGCGGGGGGGCCGCCCGCGCCCCTGCTCCCCGCCGGCCCGGGCTCTGCGGGCGGCCCGGCGGTGGGTGTTGGGGGGACGGGGGACGCGCCCGGAGCGCGGGGGCGGAGGGGGACGGGGGCGGCGCGGCTCGTCTCTGCGCCGGCGGGGCCTCGCCGGAGCGCTGCCAGGCCGGGGTGGGGGGCGGGGTGGGGAAAGGGGCCCGTGGCGCGGCCCGGCCCCACTCACCGAAGCCGGGGTGGACGCTGGTGATCTCCGCCATGGCCCAGGTTAGGCCGGGGCAGCCGGGATGCGCGGCCCGGTGCGGAGGCGCCGCGGTACCGGCCCCCGCCCGGAAGATGCTCGCAGCCCGGGATGCAGGAGCTGCCGACTGGTCCCGATGCGGCGCAGGCCCCGCCCGGCCCCGCCCGGCCCGGCCCGCCCCTCCCGCCGGCCGGCCCCGCCCCGCAGCCGCCCGCGGGGGTGACTCGGCAAGTGTCGGGGCTCTGGCCGCGCCGCCCGGGCGAGGAGCCGGGTGGCAGCGCCGCGGCGGGGCGTGTGCGTGGGCTGGCGGGGCCGGTGACCCCCCGCTCCCTCCCCGCGGGGATGGCGCCGGTGGGCAGCAGAACCGGGCAGTGCCTCACTCCCCCCCCACGGGAAGACCCCCCGAGGCGGCGGGAAACGCCGGAGCTCGGGGCAGCGGGCGCGGCGGCGGCTCCCGGCAAAGATGGCGGCGGCCGCCCCCGCCGCCCCGCGTGGTCACGGCGGGGCGGGCGGCCCCCGCACCGCCAACATGGCGGCCCCGCGCCTGGCCGAGATGGCGGCGCGGCGCCTGCGCGGCGGGCGGGCCCCGCGGCGCTTCCGCTTCCTGCGGAGCGAGCGGGACGGGGCGGCGGGGCCCGGGCGGCACGGCCAGCCGCTTTCCTGTCTTCCAGGTGGGCGCCGGGATGTCGCTGTCGCTGAAGATGCTCCCCTGCAAGAAGAGGAGAGCGGCGGTGGCGGGGCCGCAGAGCCCGCGGGAGCGCGGCGGCGAAGACGAGGAGCTGTCCGGCGTCGGCGGCTCCTCCTCGGCGGCCGCTGCTGATGTCTGCTCCTCCGCCAAACCGGCGCCGGTGGCCCGAGCCGCCGGGCCGCCCTCTTCCGGCCCGGGCGCGTGGAGGGGGCCCGGGGAGGCCTTGCTGAAAGGCGGGCAGCGGCCCCTCACCAGGGCGGCGCCGGGCCCCGGGCAGGAGGCGACGGGCGCGAAGGAGGCCTGCGCTGCCGCCCAGCTTCCCGAGGGCCTCGCGAGTCCCGATGCGGCGGCGGAAGGTAAATGTGGGCGCTGCCCGTCCCGGGGCGTGTTGCGGGGCGTTCGTGGGGCTCTGCACGCCGTCACCCCGGTTGCCGCCCTGGCGTCGGTGCTGCGCCGGGGCCGACTAAGGCAGCGCTTCACAGGCGTTTTTATATAAGCTTCTCCTTTTGGGTGCTTAGTTGTGTGGTGTTTTGTGCTTGTTTTTGTGTTTTTTGTTCCCCCCCCCCCACCCCGCCCTGTTTTCTGACCTATTACAGGTTAGCAGGCAACCCATTTTCGAAGTTGGTGGGTTTTCCTCCCTTAAAACATTAGAAAGCTAATTAAGAACTTAAACTGCTTGCCTCTAGTGTTGCCGAACCCTATTTTAGAAGTTGGGTTTATTTTTCAAATTTCCAACCGAAAATACTCAGTTTTACAAACTTGCATGTGTTTTCCAGGTCTCACCCTTGTGTTTAGTCTTTTATGGACTGCTATAGGGACCAGTCCTAACAGTAACTTTCATGGAGGTATTTCTCAGCTTTTACATAGTGCAGGATATGTTGCTTTCAGCTAGTCTTCAGACAAGTCCTTGTAAATCCAGGATTTCATTTGGAACAGTCACCTGGCATTTAGCTTTTAAAAACTAATGTTTGGCTAGTGAGTTGTGAGACTGGCAAAAGTGCAAGCTGCTGCTTCCAAAAATACTGATTATCAGAGGTTTTTTTCTGCATTTGCTTTCACTCTCGGAAGGTAATTCTTTCAAGCATTTGAAATAGTCTAGAGGGGCACTTGTATGGGGCTCTGCTGTGATCCTTTACAAGAACTGATGCAAATAGAACTTGTATTAATATCAAGTTACAAATTTGTTGTGGAACGTAGGTATTTTTGAAGTTTGTGTAAAAAGTCCAGGTGAAGTTTGTTTGCTCTGAGGTTCACTCACTGAAAGTGTGATGTGTGAGCTCCTGAGGGAGATAGAGGTATTAATGATCAAAGCAATGCTTACTTTGTCTCTCCGGTGTCTTTAAGTCTACTGAAATAAGTGGTAGTTTCCTGTTTTCCCAAATTGCCCATCATATTCTTTTTCTCTTACCTGGTATACATCTTTATTGCTGAGCTCAATGAGATTGGAGAATTGACCTGGCAAAAAAAAGTGGGGGTGTGTGGGAAGTGGTGGTGGTGTTTTTTCCTCTCCATCTGGATCAACTCCCTGATCTGATTTTCTGTGCAGCTGCACCCATAGCTGTACCAGCCCAGAGCAGCAGCTGCTGTGGTGTTGGGGTCCTGGTTTTATTGAGTGAGAATGTGTTTTCGTACTGGCTTAAGGTGTTCATTAAACTTCAGGTTTCAGCTGTTTCTTAATAATCATTGTAAGCCCATCTAACTCCAGGCTGCAGCAAAAAGGGACAGTGCTTTCTCATTTCCTTGTGAAAACTGTTGCCTCTGATTCCTGTGCTGCTGTGATTAGCTCACTGATTTGACTGAAAGCTGATTTTGTGTCTGGAGAAAGGGGAGTGGAACAGGGGTCAGTTCACCGTTGTTTTTGAGGACTGTGCAGAATAGGAGCAGGAAGGGTCTGTAGTCGTGTGGTTTTAAATTGGCCCAAGGTGACTGTGAAGCTGCATCCTAAGGTAGTTAGTCAGCTGTGCTTGTTCTAGCTGTGAATAACCTGTCTGGGTGAAGGAGTACCTGCCCCTAGTTGTTGATTTCTGTTGCTACAGTTGCATTTATACAACAGGGAGTACAACCATGTTTTAAACAAATGGTCAGGTTTTTTTGATTGGATCATTTGACAGGAACAGTTTTGAGTCTAGATGTGCAAAATGGATAGAGGAGGGAGCCAGACTGAAATAGCTGGAGGTGGGGATCTCTTCGCCTGGATTTGTTTCCAGCAGGACAGCACTCCTGCTGCAGTGCTCAGGGTATCTGCAACACTTTCACTGGCCAGGTTAGACTTGTGCAGTTGATTTAACAGATTTGAATGGATCACAGTAAGCTTTTGTAATTGCAGCAGCCTCTTAACCTCACTCAGCTGTGTCTGTATGGTGTATCTGACTACAACTTAGTGTATGCTGTTTACAGGGAAAACGCCTAAGCTGTATACAGAGGTGGAAGCAAATTCACAGAGAGATCCGTATCTGACTGAAAACCAATCTGCAGTGCAGGAGTCACCGGTGAGAAGTTCTTTGCAGCTGGCTGTTAGAAATTCAACTGTGATGAAGCCACTGAAGAACACCAGAGCTGGTGAGTGGCCCCAGCAGACTGATAAGGAAAATGAGAATTTGGGGCTGTTTATTCCATTCGGTAAGATTTGTGCAAGGAAACAGACCTGTGACTTGATACAGTAGATGGACAACTCTGGAATTGTGTATACCATGGCAGGGGCTGCTTAGGTGCAATGTTTTTTGAAGTTTTCATCCTGTGCTCTGTAATTCAGTGTCTAAATAAACTACTGGTATCCAAGTAAAATGTGCTGGAGCTGATCTGCAGTTTTTGGTTACTAAAAGCATTGCTTTCCTTCAGAGGAGAAGTTGTTATTCTTTCATTTCCCTGAGTCATCAAAACAGCACTTGGGAAACACTTTATTTCCCGGAAACTAATTTGCTGTTTCTATATGGTGCCTGAAGTTTTGCAACTGTTTTAATCTTGATGGTACACTTAAAACACTTCCCTCCAGAAAAGGTGTGAAAAGGCTGCTGAGACCATTCTGTAAAATCAGTCTAGTAGAGATGGCAAATACATACCTTTATTTGCTTGACTAATGTGACTCACTCAGGTCCTGCAGAATTTGAATCAATCATTCAAAAGACTGTTTCTAGTTCTTATGGCCATCTTCATTCAGGTGATCTGCTTATCAGCTCTTGGAAGGCTGCTGCCACTTCAGTATCTGAAGAATTCTAGCTTTGTTTTTTTTTTTAAACTCATACTGTCAGAATGTGCTGGATGTGAAGTATCTGAATTCTTAGATTCCATTTTTATTAATTTTCAGAGGAGCAAGATGGAGAGGATATTGAGAGAAGGAAGAAGAGGAGGAAGGCAACTAAACGGAAAAGAGAAGGGAAAAGTCAAGAGGAGGAGGGATCTTTGACTTGTGACATCAAGCTGGATGATACCCTTGATCGCACCTTAGAAGATGGAGCTAAACAACATAACCTGACTGTTGTCAATGTGCGAAACATCCTGCATGTGAGTGCTGCAGGACTATGACAGGGAATAGAGAAGTGCCCAGCTTTTTAAGAATGTGCAGTGTAGTCTTGAGTATAGTACTAATGGTAGCACTTCAATGAACAAGGAAGACTTAGTAGGCACCCACATTCTAATCCTATAAAAAGCTATAAAGAGAGAATCATGTAGTGTACATGTAAGTTACCTGGACCTGACTTTGTTAGTAGGTATTGATCCCTGACTTCCATTTGTTTACAGGGGTGAATGGGTCTGTTTTAGTGTACCCTAATAGCAGGAGTAATTGAACTAAAATGCGTGCTTCTGGTTCCTGGTGAGGAGATTGACTGTGATAGGCTGTGATCTCACTGTTACTTGTTTTGAGTGAACTCTTTCATGATGAAGTCCTGATGGAATTCCAGTGGTGCTGACAGAAGGGCATTACTCTTCATTAATGACCCCAACCAACGTTTTAGTCTAATGCATAACTTCCAGTTGAAAAGGAACTGCAAGAAGAGTATCTGCTGTCACAGCTGTGTCGTAAAACTCTAATTCTATACCTGTATTAGATGTAGATTTCAGTTTATCCCATGAGCAGGGTCTGGAGATCAATAGTACTTATTTTCACACAAAATTAAAACTTGTGCTTGCTTTTTTCCTACAGCTAGTATTGTTCTAATCCAGGTGATCTCAGAAATGTTACCTTTTTGCCATCCCTGTGGCAAATAAACTGGTGACTGCCATGATTCTTTTGGTCAGATTCACTAGCTGGTTTTGTGCAAGTGCTATAAACTAATGCTTTTCTCTGTCCCAGGGCTCTGTGGAAGGGCTGTAAATATCTGTCACCTACCTTTCCTGGAACCTTAGGACGGCATTCAGAAAATGTAGTCACAGATACTGAGTCTCTTCTGCCTTCCCCTATTTATTTTAAATATATACAGTGTTTTCTGAAATTACATAGCACAGTGTTTCAAAGAGTAGGTGGTTATACTTTCTCTAGAGAATTAGACCCTTACTATTTTGGAAGCCTGTGAGTGCTTAAGGATTTAAGTTTTTCTGTTGCAGCTTTGTAGCAGCATTTCTCATGTGGCTGGGATTGGCACATTTTACTGATTACTTGATGTAGGGCAGAGGGGCATGGCCTTTTGTTTCAACTATTTTCTTTCCTTCTGCTGGAAATTTATTCCGTGGGGCATTCACAAAGAATATAGTACAAATGTTTTTATCACTGCTGTGTTTACTTTATATTTTCTTGTCCAGTCACTGAACGATCTACTTTTTGTAATTATACTGTAATAAAAGTATGTTGTACATGGAATATTTCGCCATCATATTTCCAACTAGTTTTAACCTTAAGTCTGTTTCTTTTTAACAAACAGAATCTAAAGGATACTTTTTTGTGTGTTCCTGTAGGAAGTGATCACAAATGAGCATGTGGTTGCCATGATGAAAGCAGCCATCAGTGAGACAGAAGACATACCTCTGTTTGTAAGTAAAAAGCCTTTTCTGTTGTTCAAAATGCATGGTACCTTCTCCGGTCTGTCTTCTTGGTCTGTGATGTGGTATGGAGGGAATAGGTAGTACCGTAACTTACATTTCATTGCCAGATTTGCCACCTGGATGAAGTGAATAGTGTCTGTGTATGAGTGTAAATTATGAAACAGAATTATGAGGTGTTATTTTTATATACTCTGATCATGTCTAAAAGGTAATGAATTTAAAAAAAGGGAAAAGTCTTTTAGTAACTTGTTGCTGAGGGAAAGCTTGCAGTTAAGGAAAATAGCTGAATTAGGTTGCTGTTGTCTTGTTTTAAACTTTCAGGAGCCCAAAATGACTCGTTCCAAACTGAAGGAAGTTGTGGAGAAAGGAGTGGTAAGTACGTCATCTGCTTTTATTATTGCACCCTCCCCCTGCCCAAGTGGTTTTGATTGTTGGGTCTTCTAAAAGAAGTGTAAAGTGTGCTTTTATGCGATTTATTCTTAAAATGAAAAAATAAGTTAAAACAATGTAAAAAAAAAAAAATTTGTTTTAGATAAGCAGAATAGAACCAGGTCAGAGTTAGAAAATGCAGTGGCTTGACAGTATCTGTTGTACTAAAGTTACTGACTGTAGAGAGATCACGTGGGCAGTTTAGCCTTTGTTTGAAGTCTGTTACTTGCCTACTTTGGAGAACCAGGCATCAAGCTCAGGTACTCATTGGGTTTAATAGACAATGTGCTTTTCAGAGACAACAGTTAAATTGTTTTTATTATCTGTAGGTGATTCCAACATGGAATATTTCTCCAATTAAGAAGGCAAATGAGGTGAAGGTAAGTGAACTACTGGGAAACTGGAGACGATACTAGAGGCACCTTGCTGAGCAAGGAATCTTTTGGAGGGGTGGAGCAGGCTTGTGTCTAGCATGTTGGGAGTATTGGTGACCAGGAGCATTGCAAACAGGGTATGCAAGGCAGGACAAGGCAGTTAACACAGCAGCAGGTGCACAGAGGGCCCAAAAGACCTGCCTCCAGGGGCAGACCGAGCATGATGAGCTGGTGACATGCCATAGGGATGTCTTTTTCTGCTGGGTGGACCAGCTTCCCATGTTGGTACTGCAGCAGCCTCTACCTGGATGAAATTTCTGATAGTGAATGCTACTGCCCAGGCCTCATGCTGTGAGGTTCTCCCTAGGACTGCTTTATACACGGTAGGACTGCCTGGAAATATGTCCTGATATCAACTGGTTTTGCTCAGCTCTGCCTGCTTCAACAGATTTGTTATCTAGGTGTAGGCAGGATTCAGCAGTGTAGCAGGAGTGAATGGCCATTCAAGTACTAGAAATGTGTCTTTAGGATAGTGTCTGCTCATGCAGTGTTTCCATCATATAAATGCCCAACCATTTGTGCCTGTTCTTGCACCTTTTCAAGCTACTTACTTTGTTTTACCAATCTTACTTTAGTATTTTTTTTTTGTTTTCTTCAGCCTTTTTCAGTAGCCTCCTTCCTTTCTGAGCTTCAGTGTATTTCCTCAGTTAGAAATCTTTGATCTGATAGTGCACAGTTAGAGTGCAACTCTATCTTGCCTGTAAAAAGTTGTCACCTTTCTTCTGTTCTGTTGCAGCCTCCTCAGTTTGTGGACATTCCTCTTGAGGAAGATGATTCATCTGATGAAGAATACCAGCCTGATGATGAAGATGAGGATGAGACTGCAGAAGAGGTAAATGCAACTTGTACGAAGATCTGTTCTGTTCAGCATGGAGGCAGTAGAAAGCTCTCTTTATTTAACACATGAAAATGTGTAAGTTGTCCTGGACCTCCTAGTGATATTTCTTCAATGCTGTATTATTCATTTAGCTTAAAAAGAGTTGTTGAAATACTAGTTGAAGCAGTGTTTGATTGTGGCATGATTGCCTGATTTCATTCTGTGTCTTTTGCACTGTAGAGCTTACTGGAAAGTGATGTAGAGAGCGCTGCTTCTTCTCCTCGGGGAGCAAAACGATCTAGGACAAGGCGATCATCTGATGAAGAGGGAGGGACACTCTGTGAGGTAAACTTGCAAGAGAGTTTTTGCTTTCTTTGGAAACAACTTTCAGTCGTCATTCTTAAATTACTAATGCAAAAGCAAACATACATATTATTGCTAAAAGTTGTGACATTACAGGTGCTGTGTGGCGTTAGGGTCCCACTGCAACACTTTCTGCATAAGCAGTGAAGTGCAACCCTTGCAGAAAGAGCTTAGGCTAAAATAAACATGAGTACTTAAAAAAAGCACTGGCAATGGAAACAATCAGCTCTTCTTCAGATAATTTTTCTCCTTTGAGAGGAGTGCAGGAGAATTGCTTTCTGTGCTTGGCTTAGAAGGGGAAAGTGATTTTGATAAAAGCTTAAAGGTATTTGTGGTGACTGTATGCACTGAAGGAGTATGTGCCACGTGATAAGAGCCAAACAGCAGACAGGAATGAGAAAGTGACTGTGAGAGCTGACCACTGATACTGGAATCCGGGAAAGAGCAGTAATGTATTGATATTTCCATGTTCTATTCACCATGGGTTTGTTTTTGGGAGGGTTGGGAGTGTGCCGCAACTGCTAGTGTTTAAGTTTATCAGCTCTAGTAATGTTGAGACTGATACTCAAATTTTCCAAATGTTTCCTTTCCTGCAAGTCTTTTGGATAATAAATTTATTTGTACTTTCTGAAAATCAAACTGAATGTAATACAAAGAATCCATTTCCTTCTGTGAAGTATTTCTCTCATTTCTGTTGTGATAGACTGTGGTCAAGCAGAAAGAGAGACTTATTCTGTCTGTCCTTGGAAATTTATGTTCTAAATAAAACCTTCTAACACAAAGGCCTTTTTAATTAGATGGAGAAGGTTTCTGCACCTGTTGTTAGACATATTAGTGCTGAAGTAGTTCCCATGGGACCTCCACCACCTCCTAAACCAAAGCAAAACAAAGACAGCACATTCATGGAGAAGCTGCATGCAGTGGATGAAGAATTGGCTTCAAGCCCAGTATGCATGGATTCTTACCAGGTACTGATTTTGGGGATGCTATAATGGTGTGGTTTTAGTTTGAGTAAAATTTGTTAGAAAGGAGGTAACTTTCTGGTGTTCTCTGCTGTTACTTTTACTGTACTCTGCTCTCCTTTTATAACTTTAAATAAGTTGAATCTCCATAGTGTGTAGGACACTAGCTTTGTGAGAGAATAGAGGTACCTGTACGTAAAGTGTTGTTAGTGAGGCATACTTGAAGCTTCTTGTGTCATAACTGCACTTTCTACTTACATGTCTCTCAGTGCCCTTGTTTTGACTGTTAAATGTAGTTCTATGACGTTTACGTAACTAATGAAAATAGTTTTCCTTTTGAAAGATATCCTGTCATCTTAGTTGTGTTTTGCCTGCAAGTGTGCTATTAACACAGTTCCATCGTGCTTTCCCTTCACCTTTCAGTCTCTGGAAGACAGCCTCATTGCCTTCCGAACCCGATCTAAGAGACCACTGAAGGATGTTCCTCTTGGTCAGCTGGAGGCTGAGCTCCGGGCCCCGGATATCACACCTGATATGTATGATCCCAATACTGCAGATGATGAAGAATGGAAAAGGTGGCTTGGAGGGCTCATGAATGATGATGTGGAGAATGAAGGTATGAGACAGATGTGATGGTGGTGCTGTTGTTCATGGGAATTGGGGGTTATATTGAAAGCCTGGAGACTTTCCTTTCTATTTTATGCATGATGTTCTTGGCTGCAGCCAGTATCTTGTTTAGTAATATGCATGTGTTTTGCATGCTATCAGCTTTCCTTATCTTCTCCATGGACATTTACGAGGGTTTTTAAACCGCAGGTATCTCACTTTTAAATATTACTACCCAGAACATGCAGTAACTGGCAACCATAAACAAAAGCTACCTGTTTCAGCCCTTAATCCATCATTCTGCGTCATGAAGCTGGCAGCATTGATATACCTGAATCTGTCTGAGCGTGTCATGCTCCTTGTTAAGGACATGACTTGTTTTGATAGAAACAACTGTTTTCTTCTTTGAGAAGAAACAAGAGCCAAGTTTTGGGGCTTGACTTCCTTTTGTCCTGAATTTACTGGTTGCTTACAGTTTTGTGCAAATTGAATATAAAACACCAATTGAAATGATGCTACTTCATTCCTAAATTCAGCTGAAACTCCGGTCACAGAGAATAGATCCAGCTTTTCTAAATGGGAAAGGCTACAAATAAGGATGCTGCTAGCTCAGTTTGAAAAGAGGATGAGCTCAATATCACTTCCATAAAAAAGAACATACAGTTAATTTCAAGCAGTATTCCTAGCCCTCTGTGTTAGGTCAGGCAATAAATGAAGTGCTTCTGCTCATGGCAGCTGATTGATCTTGGGGCAGGGTAATGATGTTTCAAAACATGCTTCTTATTAGATGAAGCAGATGATGATGATGACCCTGAGTACAATTTCCTGGAAGATTTGGATGAACCAGATACAGAAGACTTCAGAAATGATCGTGCTGTGAGAATTACCAGTAAGTCTTGGGAATCCTGCCTCCTTTCTTGTTAGGGTTAGTAATTAACTTGAAAAGTGGGTGTTTTGTTGCAAAGATTTTGCAGTGTAGGCTAGTTTAAAAAAAAATATGCACGCTGACTTGAACAGCTGTTCTATGCAAAGTTGGCTTTCTGTGAATACGAGAGGATCTAGCCAGAGCTGCTGTGCTGTTAGATGCAATTTTACTCCATAGCAAAGACTGAAGATTAATACTTAAGTGATAGTACAGTCTGTCATAAAGCTTCAGCCAATTCAGAATTGAATGCTTGCCTTATGACTTGAGTGTATTTCTCCAAGTCCTTACAATCTTAAGAGTTCTATAAACATACCACTTTTAATCTTCTCAATAAAGCACACTTGTTTTAGGTCTTAGGTTAACTTAACTTTAATTCTGAACATTAGTTTTTATGGGATATTTCTGAATCAAACCAGTCTCAGCTGAAGTTTTACGGGGCCCAGCATTAAAAGATGATATAATATCAGAGGCCTTGCCTTCTTGGTCCTCTCTTTGCAAGAGAGATTCCTTAAATGACTTAATATAATCACAGGATTGCAAAGTGTTTCTTGGAAAAGAAATCTTCATACTTCTTTTTAATTTTACTTGCAGAAAAGGAAGTGAATGAACTGATGGAGGAGCTGTTTGAGACAGTAAGTGATAAATTAGATATAGCACTGAAGACCAGATCTTTCTCAGATATGACATGAAATCTCTAAAGCCATAAAGGGGTTGTCTCTGTAAGATGCTTCATGCTGACTATGTGCAGAGGGCCCTACCATAATAGTGTAATTTTTAGCCTTGGGAAGGAATGTACATAGGAACTTCCTTAAGTCCTTGCGGAGATGAATGTCTATGCTAAGAGAATCATCACAATCTTTATTATCTAAAGACAGTTGATAGTAAATGTACTATTTGAGCTTTCTATTCCTGACTGTTGCTACACATTTGCTATCAGTTTCAGGATGAGATGGGTTTCTCGAACATGGAAGATGAAGGTCCAGAAGATGAAGATAATGTTACAGAGTCTCGGCCAAATTTTAATACACCACAGGCACTTAGGTAGGATCATTTGTTTATGGTCATAAAACTAAAAAAATAACAACAGCTCTGTTATTAGGATAAAAAGCCTATGGTTACTTGCAGCTATGCTAGGCCATCCACCAAAGAGATAATGCCTTTTCAGCGCAGGCCACTGTTTTGAAAACTCTGAGCCGGTTTTATGTGAGATTGAACACCTAACTTGACCCTCTTTTTTTCTCTCTGCTACCTCTGACTTCACTGATTGTGATACGTCTTAAGATGATGACAATGAAAATGTAACTGTTCAGAAAGAGGCAAGAAGAATGCCGGCACTAAAAGATTTGTATCATAGCTGACAACAGCCAAGGTCTTTCAGAATGATCTATTCCAGCAAGGCAGCACCTCTAGTGGGGGATTCTGTTCCTGCTTCTTTAATCTCCATGCTATATATATGGTCCCTGTGTATTTAAATTGTGTTTATTTCTCAAGTCCATCCACATATCCCCCATTTATTAGACTAATTCTTCTGAAAAACTTGCATCACTACCTAAGACACTTACTTGAGCTGTTAACAGTAGTTAGAGGAGCAGGATATTGCATGACTGACAATGATACTTCAAAGCAATGGGAAGAGAAACCGGATACTGGGGTGTTCCTGCATATGTGGTCAAAGCTATGCAGGACCTGTGCAAAGAAGGTCCCAACCTCAGAGTGACAGCCACTCTAGCTCCCTTAATTCTTGTGCTTTACGCTGTGGTGGTGAGTGTAGTGTTCTGAAATAATTACAGAAATTGCCTTTTAATTTTTTTTTGTTGTTGTTGTTAAGGAGAGGGCTAAAGTTCATGTACTGCCCTTACATTTTTTCTGATTACAAGAAGTGCTTGAGGAGCTGGTTTGACCAACTATGTCACCTTTTAAGTAAATAGCTTGGATGTAATGGTGGCCTTTTCTAAGGAAAAAGACAGCAGAAGATAGCTGAGGGCTAGGTCTGAAATGGCTGTAAAGTTTGGAAATTGGCTTTTGATGATTTTTGATACGGGTTATGCTTGAAACAGTGCCTTGAAGAGGAAAGGGTCTCAAGCACTTCTTCCTAGATAATAATACCACTCTGTTTAACTGATTATGTAAACTGGCTAAAGGTGAACTGCAGTATGGATGTTGTCTCCTTGTTTATGGGGCAGATCAGCTCAAGATCAAGCTGTATCTGTTTGGGAAAGGAGCTAAAATGAAGGCTGGAGTTTCTTGATACTCTCTGGGATGAGCAGTACCAGAGGGGAGTCCAGTGATTCTTAAACCAGCTACAGACTAAAAGCAGGGAAACTTGATGCTCTTGTTTATTATTTGTATGCATTTGTCTTTGATAATGGCTAGTTGTATTCATTTTTCTTTGGGCAGTTCCCCTAGTTGTTTCTTCCCCAGTTTTATGTGTATATAGGATTCTTAAAGTTGTATTGTGGCAAAATATCCATTTGCTAGATTTATTGTTGTTTTTATGATACCATTAGAAGCATCGTGGAACAGCTTTACTTATAACTGACTTCAGGCCTGTTACAGAAGTGAAGCTGATAACTAGCAGAAATCAGAATGTTAACTGGTGTAGCTAAAATAAATAAAATTCTGTCATAAAGCAGGGGATAGTTGAAGCTGTTTTTGAACGGATAGTAATATGTGCATCATCTTTTCTGCTACAGGAGTAGTTCTTACTATAGTATCAGCAGATGTCTAGTAAAGTATTCTGTATAAAGCTAGATAATACTTTAATATTTTTATTTTTTAAAGTAACAGCACTAGAGTCAGAGTGTGATCTTTCTGGAGACCCTCATGGTAAAATGCCACCCACAATACCTTGTGTTCAAACCTTGCCTGATGATACAAATTGAACAGCATTGGTTAAAATGTATTCTAGATTATTTTAGATCCTGACTACTGTTGAGAGTATCTGAGCACTTGAGTGGAACACACGTGGGATATGTTTCGGACTGGTGGACAAGCCTGTTAGCTGTTCTTGGAATAAACAGTTGAAGCATTTCATCCCAGAACTACAACAGTGCTGTGGTAGATGAAAAGGTTTATGTATAAGCCAATGGTATAAATAGCTATTGTTTCGAGTTGAAGGTATTGTTGAAATGTTGAGTAGTACAGGGATGATAGTTCTTAAACTGTGCATCCCAGATACAGAGTAAAGTATTCTAAGTAAATGTGAATGGTTATTAGATATGTTTATTATATTTTGGTCTGCCTGATCTCAAAACAGATTTGAAGAGCCTCTGGCCAATTTACTGAATGAACAACACCGGACAGTGAAGGAACAACTTGAGCAGTTGAGAATGAAAAAGTCCTCCATCAAGCCACCACAAGAGATAGAAAAATCAAAACCTCAAAATGAGAAGCCTCTCCAGAGCCTTGTTCTAGACAGTATGCAAAGAAAGAGACTTCAACAGCAAATGCAGCAGGTAATAAAATGTTATCTGGTCTGACCTAATGAATATTTGCTGTATACTGCAGGGGGTGGGAAAGTCAGTGGTATAGCAAGCCAATTTTGCGTGCTTCCTTAAAGAAATTAATTGGAAAAGTTACATTTGAAGCTGGAGGTTTAATGGGTGATACTTACATGCCTGATTTCACATTGAAAGACAATTTGAATTGAATGAGCAAAGTAGAGATGATTTATTGGCATCTGTATTGTTCTCATGTGAGATAGCTGCCTTGGCCATGTTAGAATTCTGACTGTAATCTCTCAAAATCCTCTGCTTTCACCAACTTCTTTATTACTTTCTCAGAATATTACTCTTGATGTAGTTTGGATTCTTTTTTTCCTCTTTCCACCATACAAAACTGTAGAAATTCAGTTTGGACATTTTAAAAGCTGTCAGCAGCATAGATGAGGAGCTGTACTTAAGATAATTTTTTTCCATGTCCATACAAAGTTGAAGAGGAATTAATCTCAAAATTTGAAGCTTACTGTCAACTCGATCTCACGAGGACAAAGTGCACTGGTTTTGTGTGAAGTTGATACAAGTCTTGCTGAGCAGTCATTTATTATTCTGTGTGCCTCATACAGTGTCGTGTCTTGGCCTGGCATCAAGGAGAAGACACAGACCTCAAACACAGCCAAAAGAAATGGATCTTGCATTAGACATGTAGGCTACATGACTTTAATTTTTCAACTGCAAAGAAAGATGGATGGTGTTTGTACATGTGGGGAATTCTCATAGCTGAAGTCATTGTTTCTGAAGAAATACTTAAGTATTTATTTAGAAAAAAAGTATACTTTTTATTGTTATGGTATGAGACTGGCACAAAAGCTAGTAAACTGCCCTGAGGCTTAAGCAGATGTGTTCAAAATCTGTGTAATAAACTTCCTGTCAGTGGATATTAAAGTTTCCCCTCAGTTTTCTATTGCTTAAGAGGTTCTTTGAAGTCAGAATGTGATTTTTTTTTTTTTTTTTTTTTTTGGGGGGTGCTCAGGAGATATTTCTTACGCCTCTATACTTAGGCTTTCCAGTTTTTTGGATTTCTGATAGACTGAAAAAAATTCATTTGTCTGATTTTATTCTTCAAGCATGTTCAGCTTCTGACTCAAATACATCTTCTTGCAAGTTCCAACCCTGCTCTAAGTTCAGAGGCCAGTACTACCAGGATGTTTTTGGTAAGGATATGTCTAAAATCAGAGCTGCATGAATTTTAATGATTGCTGGTCACTGGAGATATTTAGAGAGCTTAATTTAATTGATCCCATTAAGTTGAGAGAGACTACCCCTCAGTAAGGGAATGATGTTATCAGCCTACAGTGAACATGCTCAGTACTTGAAGAAATTCACGTTGTGCTGACTAATAGCAGTGCTTTGAATTGGCATGTCTTTTATATTTTTTTTATTGTTTTATTGTAAATACTGAAAACAAAGTTAAAAAACCACAGCTTCTGTAATTAGTGAACATTCTGAGACCTTGAAAGATTCTAGAATGTGGGGGAATTAAAAAAAAAAAAAGAAAACAAAAACAAAACCAATTTCTCTGATTGTTCCTAGATTTGCTCAAAAAGACCTGTAATGCTCTGCTTTCTTTATGTCTGTCACTTCACCAGCTTTTATTTTTTGCATTATTGCATGGATGTATTTGTTCTTTACCTTCCACTGGAAGGCATATTCTTTTATCTTTTTCTGTGTTTGACTTTGCAGAGTGAGCTTGGTAACTTTGCTCGAAGCTCTACGCTCCTTCATCAGTCATTCAGTCCTAAGTTTCAAACAATGTTCCAACCATGTAACTTGAAGGGAGCACTGCAGCTCATTGAAGATTTTCACGCCCAAGTCCAAGTTGATTGGAGCCCTCGCAAAGCTGTGAAGAAGAGTGGTATGTATTTGAAGGGACAGAGGTGGGAAAGCATTTACAGTGGGCGTTATTTCTTGCTGTGCACCCTCCAGATGAGATATTGTTCAGACTTCTGTTTGGAATTAATTATTTTTTTATCTAAAAATACCTCACAAAAAAAAACCAAAACCCACATTAATTTAATTTTACTGGCTGCCTTTTTGCTTCTTAAACTTGCAACATAATCAAGCATGTTATATGAGCTGCTGGCTTTTCTTTGACATAATAATCCTGCCATTTATATAGCCGCAGATGATGTTTTGAGCTGCGGAAGCCCATCAAGGAACTATGAATCTGGAAATAGTTGTTCCAAATGTGTTGTTTAACACACATCAAGGAAATACTCTCTTCATTGGAGTATTTTAGTGGGGAAAAAAAAAAAAAAAGCTCCAAACGGTTGGTTTCAAATACTTGGTTTGTGATTTTTCTGCTACCTAGAGAGTGAGCTCACTTGAAATACAGAACTTTTTACAAGTGCTTTTTTCATTATAGAGCAAAAGAAAAGGCGGAAGGGGAAAGTAATTCTACCTTTTGCTGATGTAGACTTAACGGCAAGTAGAAAGTATGTAAATTCTAAAAATCAGGGAGAAAGTCTCTTCTTGCAGTGAAGGAAGTAAAAGAAATGGTGTTCTCAGGAACCCCGTTGTGAAAAACGTTACTTGTCCATGTATACATCTATCCTTATCTGTGTGGGATTTTTTTTTTTTTCACAGCCAATGAATTCCCGTGTTTGCCAAAGCAAGTGGCATGGATTTTGGCGACCAAGAGAGTCTTCATGTATCCAGAGTTACTGCCAATATGTTCCCTGAAGGCAAACCCTCCTCGAGACAAGATTATCTTCACCAAGGCAGAGGACAAGTAGGTGCTTAGAATTATTGAATAAAATGCGTACAAATGAGACCTCCTTGCTAAAGAGAGTTTCTAGGATGCAAACTTAAGGGATATCTGTGTATTGTACAACAGCATATCCAAATAGCAATCTGCTGTACTGTCTAAAAGATTATTTTTTTTTTTCTTTTCCCCTCCTTCCTTCCTGTTTAGTTTGTTAGCTTTAGGTTTGAAACATTTTGAAGGGACAGAGTTTCCAAAACCTTTGATCAGCAAGTATCTCTTGCCAACAAAAACTGCCCACCAGCTTACAGTACGAATCAAGAATCTCAATATGAATCGAGCCCCTGATAATATCATCAGAGTAAGTGATGCATTGAGGTTGGTATTTTTCAGATTTGTGTGTGTAGTTGGTGTTTGTTACACAAGAAAAGATGTGCTGTTTGTTCCACGGACCTTTTTGTATATGCACTGACACTTTCGTTAAAGAAAACACCATCCTGTTATCAGCAACGAGGATTTCTTCAAAACACCTTATCCTCCCTACTTTGCAAGTACTTATATTACTATTTTGACACATTAGAGCCCAGCACTTGCAGACAGTCCTAGTACAGATGTGGCTTCACAATCCTGAGAAATTAATACAATTACACTTTGAATAGTGAAGCTTAATTTAAAGTTTTGTCTCCAGTCAGGCTGAAGGTCCAACTGGCCAAATATCCTGTCCTGTAAGCTAATGGCCACTGCTGAAGAGAGATTAAGAACCAGAAATGCTGAAGTGTGCCTGCATATCTGCTAGCACTTTGCTTTCTTTCCAGAGATACCAAGATGGCAGTGAGCTCTTGTTCAGCCTTTATTATTTCTTTTTAATGTTTCTATGGGTAATACCTTATTAAAGTAGTAGTGATGAGAATTGCTTTATTCACATGAACACTTACAGAGCACAATCCTTATTCTACATCCTAGCAATTATTGGACAGGTGATCTGACCAGTCTTGTCTTGCGTTCTCTCCTGTGTCTGCATAGTACTATAAAAAGACAAAACAGTTGCCCATTCTGTTCAAGTGCTGTGAGGAAATTCAGCCAAATGAGTGGAAGCCACCTGTGGAGAGAGAAGAACATCGCCTGCCATTTTGGTTAAAGGTAGTTTCTTCTATTCTTCATCCAGCCTAGCGAGGTTTTTGTTGTTACTGGCTTGATTTCTTTTTGGGGGTTTTTGTGGTGTTTGTTTGTTTTTGTTTTTTTTTTTTTGTTTGGTTTGTTTGTTTTTCCTTTCCAGCCTAGGTCCAGAGTGAGTTCTTTCATTAGCCTACAGCCCTGAAGTCAAAAGGTAGTCTGATTGTATTGCATGGGATCCTGTGTCATTCTGAGTCTAGCTAGTAAACGTAGCAAGAACAGTGGTACTTGTCAACCTGAAATATTATACACTACTCTTGGTGCTTGTCTGCCCAGCTGCAGTACAGGATTAAAGTAATCATGGACATATAGTGTGTGTTGTCACATCCTTGTTTTGCTACATGGGTGTATTTCTGATGTCTCTGGCTTGATGTGTTGATTTTGTTATTTGGCTTTGTTAATCAAGATAGTCTGACCCTCACCTTATGGTTAGCAGGGTTGCCACTGTTCCCACTGTATCACAGCCATGAGAGATGGCGTGTTCTTTCCCCTTAAAGCCTTGCCTTTTAAGAGTAAAGAAGAAATCTGGGGGTCTGGGGTGGGTTTTTTTAAGGTTATCTTCACCTGCAGTGTGGCTGTTATTATACCCAAATGTCTCATGCTTCGTAAGGATTCTTTCTCTGAGATTCTTTGCACAAGCAAGACTAAGTTGGAGGCATAGTGACCATGCCTGCAAGTCAGTCAAGGAGGACTGTCTGAGGAAAGAATTACTCAGATTCCATAAAATCCAGTTCTCTTAATCAAGTATAGCATTTCATTGTTGCAGTGAAGCTTTCTTCCCACAAAATCTTGTATTTACTAAAGGAACTTTTATAAAGCGATTCAGTTCTGTTGTTTTTCAGGATCTCAGATTCTTTTGAAGGCTTTGGAGTAAAAGTAGTGAATATAAAGTAATATATAGTAAATACAAAGTAATATACAGTAGTATAAAGTAAATAAAAAACAGTTCTAGGAGCAAGTTGCTGTCTGTCATCTTCCGTGGTGCTGTTTGAAGGTGGTAATAAACAAATATCCTATGGACAGGACTAATAAACTCTTGTTCCCTTTAGGCAAGCTTGCCCTCCATTCAGGGGGAATTGAAGCAATTAGCAGAAGATACCAGGGAGATGCCAGGTTCACCTGATGCAGAATCTGTCTTTTTGGGGACAGGAAAGGAAACTTCAGACACAGAATATAATGAGAAGTACCCTCTACTGATGCCAAAGGGACTAGTGCTGACCCTAAAGCCCCTTGCCAATCGATTCTCTAGGAGAGCATGGAGGAGGCAGAGGTCTTCAGCTCTAAAGCCTGTCCTCATTCGACCGAGTCCTTGTCTGCAGCCCAGTTCCAACACTATTAACATCCAGAAAACCGTGAAGTTGTCCCAGTCAGAAGCTCCTCCCAGCAAAGTTATGGTTCAGATTCCTCGGCTAATCCAGCCAGCTACAGTTATGCAGACGGTGCCAGGAGTGCAGCCTTTGAATGTCCCAGCAGTGGTAGGAAGTGGGGATAGCTTGGAATTTCAGAACGTGCTCTCCACTTCCCATTCGGACTCCAGACAAGCTTTTCCAGCTGCTGTACCACCAGCTCTAGTGTCCTCAAATCCAGTAACTTTTCAGCCAAAACTGATGTTGCCAGCTTTGGCAGGAGCAAAAATACGTAAGCCTTGTGTTCGTAAGGGATATCAAAAGAAAAAAGGGACAAAATCTGCCCCACTGATAAAGACTTCACCCTTAATTCAGCCATCTCCTGTCATCCTTACTGTACCTGCTACCACAGTGAAAGTGGTTAATATAGGCAATGGTTGCAATATGATTCAGCCCATAAGTACAGCAGTTGGTAGAGGCACTCAGGCTATTCCAGTTACAACATTATTAGTAAATCCATCCACTTTCCCATGTCCATTAAATCAGCCTCTAGTGACTTCTTCAATCCCTTCATTGATAGTCTCTCCTAACCCTGTTGGTCTTTCTGCTTCATCTGTTGGTGAAAATGAAGAACAGATGAATCTGGTTCCTTCCTGCCCTGCTGGAAACAACAAAAATACCTATCCCACGGTGGAGCCCAAGGTTGAGCCCCCGGAGTTGTACGTTTCATGCTCTGCTGTCTCCCCCAAGGAGGAGTGTAGTAAAAATCCTGCCACTTCAAATAATGGCAGTCAGGAAAAGGTAAATAAGAGTGACTGCTGTAGCTGGACAGTGGTAGAAGGAGATGAGAATGCTTCAGAGCCATTGTCTGTGGACCTTTTGCCTCATTTAGAAGATCCAGATGAAACGGTGAAAATTGAGCCTGAAGAGTCAAATGATGCTACCAAGGAAGTAAACCCAGTACAGAAGAGAGATCTTTTATGTGCTGAAGTGAAAGAGGAATTCATGCTGGATCTTGGCCAGGAGCTGAACATGGAAACTGCATGTTCATGTTCAAATGACCTTAAAGAAATTAAAAAAGAGCATGCTTTGTGTGATGAGAAGGGAGAAGAGCAACTGGCCTTGCAGTCATCCCCCCATGGTGAAGAGCAGATGGATGCAGGTGTTGTTGCTGGACCCCAAGTAAGCAGTGAGTCTCCAAAGAATCTTTCTTATACAGCAGATGTTGAGGCAGAATTTAGTAGTCCGCTAGGAAGACCAGAGGATTCGTCCAGTATAGATGGCCAGTCTGTTGGGACACCAGCTGGCCCTGAAGCTGGAGGAGAGAGAGAAGGACAAGAGGAAGAGGAAGACGATGACTTTGATGATTTTACACAAGATGAGGATGAAGAAATGTCATCAGCCTCAGAGGAATCTATTCTTTCAGTGCCAGAACTTCAGGTAAAAGCAAACAAAACTTTAAAAAACTTGCATTGGTGTCTTGAAACACCCTAGTGGAGTCAGGCTAAATCACAATTTGAATCCAATTGTTAGCTATATAATAGCATGGTATTGTGCTGTTTTACAGAGAAATCGGCCACCACATTTTTCAGAGCAAATTTTAAGTCCTAACTAAAGGAATATCTTGCAAATATGCAGATTTAAATTCTGCTGAGTTGTAAGGACTTCCTCAACTGAGGCTGTTCTTTAAGTACTTTAGGTAAAAATTATTTTCCAGGTCACAATTCCAGCAAGCCTTGAAGAACTAAGATAATCATTGAAGAATTCCATCTAACTTAGGGTTTTTATAAACGGCAGATTCTGAAATTTAATTTTGTGTGTGATTAAAAAAAATAGGTAGTTCTGGTTGTTGTTGAATTGTATCCCTTCAGTAGAATCCTCTAGTAGGTCAGATGTTGATCTGTGAAATTGGTTGTTAGAATTATGATGGAGTGAACTAATTGCTGAATGACATTAGAACAAACACTTAAAGAAAACAATGTGACTTTCTTTGTTGTTGCTTTCTAAGGAAACAATGGAAAAACTTACTTGGCTTGCAACAGAGAGACGTTTAAGCCAAGAAGGAGATTCTGAAGAAGAGAATTCCCAGGAAGAGAACTCTGAGCCTGAGGAGGAGGAGGAGGAGGAAGGTGAAGGAATAGAGAATTTACAGAAAGATGATGAGATATGTGGAGATGTATCAGAGGAACCTAAATCTGCCTTCACGTTGACAAAGGCAGCCCCACAGGTGGAAGCCGACAGAATGCCAGCCGGTAAGTTCTGTGGGTTTCTTTTGACACAGAGCAGGGTGAAATAGAGCTGCTCTGTGCACTGAAAGCAAAACAATGGGGAAACTGTATCTGGGATTAATTTCACTTAGCATATATGAGCATAGTGATGCTTTCCATGTGGAAATTAAATTTTGCAACACAGTCACAATTCTGTAAAAACAGTTCATACCACAGAAGCCCTTGTGCATGTAAACTGAGTGTCCTTAGTCCACTGTAATGCATTTACGCTTCAAAAATTTGCAGACATAAGATTTGGTCTTTGTGTTGGCTAATACACAATACCTACATAAGAACAATATGAGTCAAGTCTTTGTTAAAATGAATTTTGTATTAAAAGGTCATGTTGGGGAAAAATAAATTAAAATAATACCTTAACCAGCGTCTAGCAAGTACTAGATGAATTTGTGCAGTGAACTTCGAGGAGGTGGACCTCAGCCCATTAGATCAATAGATTTCTAATCTAAAGACATAAAAATCTCAATGTAGCAACTCTTAGCATTTTATTTCACTCCATATTATGTGACACCAGTTATTAATCTGTGATGTTAACTCTATTAATGTAAATAATAAGCTAAAAGAATAATTTGCAAGCGTTAACAGCCACCTCTGCTCATATTCTATCTCTGTTTACCCGCTATGATTTTTTTGCCCCTGGTATGCAGTAGACGTGTCTATTAGTTCTCAGTAGATTGCTAGCTGAGTAACTGCTAGGATGGGTTTGTTGCTGTATCCAGAGATTTTTCCTGTCAGATGCCAGAAAAATAAACAGGCAATTTAAAATATGTTAGTCTGAGTAATGAAAAGTATACCTCTCATACACTTACAGGAGAGCATAAGCAGTTCACTCATCACTAACTCTGAAAACCTACTTTTCTATTGCAACATTGATCTAGAAGAGTAGTTGTCTGCCAGGCACAGGGGATGTGTGAAAAGTACCTGTACAACTTGCTTTGTGCTTCTCCACAGGAGAAAACATGAAAGCCCCTGGAAAGAGCAAGAGCTCACACAGAACCAGAAATAAGAGGGGACGGGCTCGTGCTAGCAAAGACACATCTAAGCTGCTCCTCTTGTATGATGAAGACATCCTGGAGAGAGATCCCCTGCGGGAACAGAAGGATCTGGCATTTGCACAAGCCTATCTAACCAGGGTAAGCCAGACCAGTATGTGACCCAGAAATGGAAACATCAGACACTGAGTCTTCTAACATGGTTCATGCCTGAGCCACATAACTGCCAGTTCTAACTGGGTGTACTGGATCTGGTCAGGGTGGAGTTACCTTCACAGCACCCCATATGGTGGTCCTTATTAAACTGTCTTTATCTTGACCTACGAGTTTTCTTGCTTCTGCTCTCCCTCTTTCCCACCCCCCTCCCTCTTGGGGGAGGCAGGGAGTGAGCGAGTGGCTATGGGGGTGCTTAGCTGCTGGTGGCAGTCAATCCACAACACTGATCCTCTTGATTTCAGAATTTCATAGTCTTGGATTTGGTTCCCTTCTCTCTTGTGAGCAGTTCAAATTTATCTTTAAGGAAGAGACTTGGTTGGCTCATCAAAACTGGGAGCACTGTGGAAATTCTGAGTAGCAAGAGATCAGAGATTACTAAATTAACTTGTTTTCTTCCTGGATCTTACGCAGTCCTGTAAAGATCTGTTGCTCTTTTCAGGTACGTGAAGCCTTGCAGCATGTTCCTGGAAAGTATGAAGACTTTCTTCGTGTTATCTATGAGTTTGAGATTAGCACTGACAAGCAAACAGCTGTGGATCTCTATTCCACTTTACAGAAACTGTTGCATGACTGGCCACAGTTGCTCACAGATTTTGCCGCCTTTCTTTTACCAGAACAAGCTTTGGAGTGTGGACTGGTAGGTAGAATGAAAGAAGAAGATCAAGTTTTAAGCAGACAATGTCAGTGCTTTTGGTAGTGAAGGAATTCTGCCTAGAGCAAGAACAGTAAACAGCTGGTAAATTATTTGCTTACCTTGCCGTTTTAATAATCAGAATTGAAAAGTCTAGTGTTTGTTTTAAGTCTCAATACTAAGTTTTACTGTAGAGAATCAACCATCCCCAGTTACGTCACAGAACCTGACTGCAGAGGCAAAGTGCAGATACACCAAGTGAAACGGTTCCCTTGACTGGCAAATCAGCCTTCCGCTTTGTAAGATAGAGGTTTTCACCTGTTAAATTCTTTCTGGATTTTCCTATCTTATGAACACATGGTTGAAGTAAAACTTTACAGCTCATCTAAGAATTGATTATATAAAGTCTTGTTTTTCTTCTTCCACCTCTTCCCAGTTTTGCAATGGGTATCAATACAAATAGAAAAATATAGTAGTGGGACAGGCATTTTGTAACTTGTTTAAGCCAACTAGAGATGCTTGGAAGTACGTTCTTGAACATGAGGGGTGAATCTTTTTCTTTTGGTCAGTTTGAAGAGCAGCAAGCATTTGAGAAAAGCCGGAAGTTTCTCAGGCAGCTGGAGATTTGCTTTGCTGAAAATCCTGCCCACCATCAAAAGATCATCAAAGTTCTGCAGAGTTGTGCAGACTGCCTCCCCCAGGAGATTGCAGAGGTAATCAGGCATCCAGGTATCTCCTTTCTCTCAAAAACCCTGAGAATGCAAATAGCTAGCCTGCCTCACTGTTCCCATCTGCTGCTCTCTGAGAGCACAAGAGTTTATCAAGTGCAATCTCCCTCTGTGGGGTGTGGGAGAAAATTGAAGCTGCCTCTTAAAGAGGCTTTACAATTGACTGGCCTGTGTGTCTCCTCTCTCCTCCCTCCACCTTGTTTTTCTCACCTTGCAGGTGAAATTTTAGCTTAGTGCCTCCTGCAGGTCTGCCTAGAATTTTGGAAGGATGTTTCTAGGCTAATTTGGTAGCTGGATGTGGAATGATCTCACAATATTTATGAAGTAGTACCAATGCAAGCATAAACTTCCATGTTTAATAAGCCTTGATGTTCCACTTTCTTCTCAGAAGGATTTCTCAAAGCATGTGAAGACATGGAAGGAAACACTTATTTTCTCTGGATTTCTCTTTCAGCTGAAGACCCAAATGTGGCAACTGTTGAAAGGACATGACCACTTGCAGGATGAATTCTCCATTTTCTTTGATCACTTACGACCATCAGCCAGCCGCATGGGAGATTTTGAGGAGATCAACTGGACAGAAGAGAAGGAATATGAGGTGGAGCGATCTCTTCCCCAAGGCTAGAAAAGATAAAAGGAGGGATACTAGGCATATCTGAACTTGAAGAATACAAATTGAGGCTGCATTTCCAGAGGGAGGGAAGCAGCAGGGTGGGATACCTGTTGGTGGATTGGATCAAACTTTAAATTTTTTTTTTTTTAACAGTGTTTATGTCTCTTCTACATAATTGAACTTGTCATGTCCTGGAACTGAGCTCAGTATTAAGAAATGAATGGGGAAAATGAAGTTTGGTCTGCTGAAGAGCTGTCGTGATAGAGCAGTTCTTGTGTGTTTCTTTTTTTGTAGTTTGATGGCTTTGAAGAGGTGTCTTTGCCAGATGTAGAAGAGGAGGATGAACCACCCAAGATGCATGCAGCCTCAAAAAATAAAAAGCGGAAAGAAGTCGGAGGCCAGAGCAATGACAAGGTGGGCCTGGGGTATCTCACTAGTCCACGTATCTGGACTCTGAGCAAATGCATGCCCGTGAGGATAAATGTGTCTTCTTGAGGGACGTGACAACAGCCTAAAAAGATCTGAAGAAGAGGGATTGAAATGTTTCCATTGTGCTTTGCTTGCTAGCAGCATAATCGCTTTAGTTCTCTCCGGGCGTGCGGAGTGCCACTCAGCCCGTCCTGGCTCCCTTTGGAGCTAACCTTTCCCTGACTGTCATCGCTGTGTACCATGTGCATTTGTCAGCTGGAGTATGTCTGTTTCCAGGAGGTCGAGTGGGTAGATGGGATGAAGGAATGTTCATGTTCCTGCCATGAAGGGAGTAGCGATCTCAAGCTAAAGAAAAGCAAAAGGAGGACCTGCAGCCATTGTAGTAGTAAGGTTAGTTGATAGGCCAAAGTCCCTGGAGTGGTGAGTGGAAAGTAGAGTCCTGCCCAGAGTCCCTCTGTTGTGATGGTCTGTTCAGCCTCAGGCCTTGTGTGTCCAAAATAAATAATGTGTTGAGGAAGAAAGTAAATCGAAAGATGACCAGTAGCGTCTCCTTCGGCGATCTGACTGTACTACCTGGCCTTCCCCTGTCTATCTCCTCCTCACTTTCTACTGCCCCTCCTTGCTGTGCTAAAAAGTGTTAATTTTGATGTTCTTTTGAGTTAAGAATAAGCTTTTTCGGTGGAAGATGCTTGTGTGGCCACTATGTGAAAAGAACTGTACCTGTTCATAATAAGAAAAAAGATTCAGCTTTCTAAATGCAAACATATTGCCCAACTGAAGCCTTTGTTAGGGTCAAGGAGTACTTTGGAAGCAAAGGCCAGGGTGTTAGGTTCGGACTGATCTATCACATCTGTAATTGTATGCCTACGTATTGATTTGCAGGTGTGTGAAAACAAATTTTATAAAAATAAAGATTCTCACGAGCTGACTGCAAGCCTTATTCAACAAGAATCAGGTCCTCCACCTGAAGGGAAGGATTCTGGAGTGTCTAAGGAACCTGCAGAAGAAAGCCTGGAGAACAGAGATGAGGGAGAGGATGTCCAGAGCAGAACAAAAACAGTATCCAGGAAAGCAGACTCTCTGGCTTCAGGTATGTGAAAGTCTGTGTGCACAGGCAGGTACGTGATTCATCTCCAAACTGGTTCACACAAATGGAAATGGGTATGGGACTTTCCAATGCACATTTATTGAGATAATGAGAACTTCTATTAATATTTTTTTTTTCCCTTCCGTTCATCCACTCTGGATGCTCTAAACATGCATATATCCAGAATATATCCAGAGCATTCCCCTTTAAAAAACAAACAAACAAACAAAAAAAACCCAAACAAACAAAAAAACCCCACAAACAAACAAACAAAAGCAAAAACAAACAAAAAAAAACCCCAAACAAAAACAACCCCATTCCTGACTACAGAAATATTCTCCCCTTTTCAGATGATTGGTCCACTTAAGCTTCTCTTTTTAGCATACTAATCCGATTCACAGTACTACCAGTCCCCAGTCCATGATACTGTTTGTTTTTTTTTTTTTTTTCCAGTTTTAATTTTAGCACAGCAATTCAAAATCATCATCTCTCTAATATTCTTTTAAATGATCTTCACGTTACCTGTTTTTCCTTCAGTCTGGTACAGACGAGGGAAAACATGATTATTGCAGGATAAACAACCTGAAAGAGATCTCTTCCTTCTCGTAGTAACTGTGTCTCAGTTAATGCTCCTGTTGAAGACCATACCCAGGTTAAGTACAGCGGTTTCAATGTAATGCAACTTGATGTCTAGTTTATAGTGGGTTTGTAGATAGGGCACCAAGAGCAGCAATGTGTGTTTCACTTGAGAATTTTGTTCTGGACAATGCACGTAAGCTTCTTTTCCATGTTCATCACTTCTTCACGCAGCTGCTAGTTGTGGTAACCCATGATGGTGAAGAAAATTGTGACTGCAGGGTGCCGCCTTTGCAGCACAGGGTGGGTAAACTGCAGATGGAATTACAAAGCTGCTCCCAAACTGTGTTCTCATTTACAGCATTATGATCTAGAATAATTAAAAAAAAAAAAACCTCTTGTAAATTAATAAAGCCTCCAGAAGTTTTTCATACTAACAGCTAGTTTAAACTTGTTTGGGTTTCTTACCAGGATCTCACCTGGAAGGAAAGATTGTCTCTGGCAGACATACATCTTCTGAAAAAGCTGTGCTGCCTGATAATCAGGTTCAAGAAGCAGGTGTCAGTGTTGCTGTGAATACTGCAAAGGACAGTGACTCTTCTATCACTGGCCCCAGATGGACACATCTGCAAAAAGCTACTCTAAAACTACCTCAAGAAACCAAAGACTGCCCTTGCACTGTGGGAGGTGAGAGTGAGGGACTAAACCAGCATCAAGGAAATGCAGATGCTTCCCCTGGGCTGAGCAGAGATTTGCTGCTGTCTTCCTGTTCTGCTACAGTAAAAGGTTTAATGGGACCCAGTTCCTCTTCCAGAAAGAGTTTATGTCAGACCGAAGGGCTTCATTCTGATTCATCAGATAAGCTTGCTGTCTTTGGTCATGCTTCAAAATTAGGTATGAAAGAACTTGAGGGGCCACCTTTGCCTTTAGAAGAAAAGCCTGAAGCAAAGCAGGGCTGGATAACCCCAGGTGGAAAACCAACACTGGGTAAGAGCTGCAGCTTCCAGTTGCCTGATAATTGCATTCTGGAAACGGATGATACAGGCTGCACTGGAAATGTTCCTGAGAGCAGATTAAAGTCAAATGCAAACAACTGCTTTCAGATGCATCAGCATTCTGAGCAGCTGGAATATAGAGTGATTACTGCCTCCCTGGGACAAAAGGAAGAGGAGCAGCAACAGCAGCGAGTCACAGAAGCAACTGTGTGTGCCAAGAACAGCAAAGTCAGCTCGACTGGGGAGAAGGTTGTCCTCTGGACCAGGTATATCTGCCCAAAGTACACCTTACATCCTCATGCATTCAGTATTGGGCTTCAGCTTTCATGTTATAGAGTATCCCTTAGTTTGTGTTCCCATTTTCTGATGTTTTCTGCCCCCTCCCTTTGAGTATTCCTGCTTTTTTTTCCTCTAACCAGTCTGTCACAGCTGCCGTCTTGGTCCTATGAGAAATACTGTCTGCTCATGACAGTGTAATTACTGTAGTAATTGAGGCTGGGAAAGAATTTTTTTTTTTCCTTCAAAAAGCTTAAAACCAGGCTAAATGCAGCTCTACTTAGAAATATGTCCTGTGATTGGTGGTGGTAGTAGTAGTGAAGGAACAAGCCTCCTGGGCTTGCCTAATGGTTGTTACCTGTACCCAGGAACAGGCTCTCGGGCTTGTGGGGGTTGAAGTGTGGCAAGGCTTGTTCTGGGCTGCTGTCACAGCCACTGTACTGTTCTGCAGGGAGGCTGACAGAGTCATCCTTACCACCTGTCAGGAGAAAGGAGCCCACCTGGAGACCTTCCATGCCATCTCGCAGAAACTGGGCAACAAGACTGCTAGTGAGGTGAGGGGTTCATGTCAAAGCTTGCATCTGCTACGGCTAATGGGGAAAGGGGGTGGAAAGGAGGGAAAGGTGGAGGTTTGCTGTCATATTAGTCTCACACACTTCAATTTGATGCTGCATCAGAGAAAAATAATCCTAATTGCAAGTAAGAAACCAAAACAAACCCTAACACATTCTGGTGGAGCCAAAAATCATGACTGCTGTGGTCTTTTTTTACACTGATACTCTAGCTTGATATTTGGTACCAGAATTGTCTCAGTGACTGTTACTTGGGGCTCCAGCCTTCTACTTCAGTACAAGGAATCTGCTGGGTTTTGTCCCTTAACCTTCCCCACATCACTGCCTAGGTAGGAATCTTCCCAAACTGCCAGTTTTTTACTTGCAAATCAGTAGAATAACGGTTCTTCCAAAGAAAACGGCCCAGTGCTCTTCCATTTTTTTCCCCCTTATGATTGAATCTTACATAAAATGTGATTGTGGGGTTGTTTGTTGTTTTTTTTTTAAGTAAAAGCACAAAACACCCTGAACTTTGTAGTAAGAAATTTCCATTTGGCACCGCCTTTTATGTCACTAGTCATCTCTCATTTCCCTTTTTCTTCAGGTATCCCACAGGTTCAGAGAACTGATGAGGCTGTTTCATACATCCTGTGATGGCAGCTCTGAAGACGAGGAGGATGCAACTAGTACCAGTAACACAGACCAGTTGTCAGATAAAGATCTTCTGCTTTCAGAGGAAGAACCTGATGACTGAGGTTTTTCTGGCTTGATAAGCCACTGACTGCATTGGAAGGAGAGTGGTTTGCCAGTTTGCTGCTAGACAGGTGCTGTGGATAAAGGAAAAATGTTTGCACAGGTACTTAAAATAGCACCTTTTTTAATTGTTGTTGATCACTTCCTGCTACACTTCTGACAAGCTGCACTTCTCAGTCCTGTATCAAACTAAAGGAATGAAAAAAGGCAGTAGGGTGATAATATCTTCTAGAACCTACGTGGGGAGCTTCAACAATGAAATGACAGAAGTGCTGCTTGTGGACACTGACCTCACTCTGGTGAAAAGATCGGGCCACCAGCCTTTGAAAAGAACATGTAAATATTGTATCATAAGATGTCTGTTTTCATGTGGAACAAACACATGATTTTTTTGGTAAGTCTTCCCCTTGTGTTGACTGTATGTGGGAAAGTTACAATCTGAATTCTGTATTTATTGTGTGGTCTTATTCTAACAGGCAGAGCAAATTCACTTTGCAAAGGTAAAAAAAAAAACCACCAACCATACAAAAAGAGTACCCAAAAAGCAGCTTTCCTCCTTTACGATACAACTGCAAGTAGCTGCAGAACTTAAGCCAGCCCTTGTAACAGGATTTTGCTGAAATTAAAAGAAAGTACCAGTTGGGCCATCTTTAAAGCCATTCCCTTTATTTTGAAAGCGATCTTAAAGATATTTTTACTTCCCCTATCTCTAGTAATAAAGATGAGTTAGTCTGAATCTGCTTCATCTTCAGATTCATCTGCTTCAAACCCTGTTTCATAGCACTGGGCTAGAGTTCTGAGCTCCTCTAAAGCCTCCTGGAAGTCGTCCAGTTCAACTCCAGCAGAGAAGAAGCTGGCCCATCGCCGCATGTTCAGCTTCTGGAGATCCTTGTACAAGCTGTAGAGGAGTGTGTGCAGAACTGGTGAAGACTGCAGGGCTGCTAGTACAGGGATGCTTTCAACAGCTGCAGGGAAAAACATCTTTGCTTCAATATACCAATCAAAACTTGTTTCCCTACTGTATCTTTACAAGCAGTTGCTTTACATAAGCTCAGCGTAGCATAAGAGCTGCTTAATACTCATAATTTTTGCCCTACAAACACTCAGAAATGTTTTGGGTTTTCTTTTTTTTTTTAAATTAATTCTCCTTTACCTCTGCTAGACCCTACTTGCCCCTACATGGATCTCTTTCTATTGCAAAGTAAGTTTAAGGGGCACTTGTTACCTGCTGAGGAGTAGGTGGGAGGTTTGTCCAGGAGGAAGCCTTCTCTGGTAAGAAGAGGAGAAAAAAACTGGGGGTACGGAGGAAGGGTGTGACACGGCTGCTCAAGCACATGGGATGTGCTGTAAAGAAGGTGAATAAAGTTACCCCAAACTTGCTCTACCTTCAGTTTGCAGTTAGTGTTCCCTGTTCCAAAAAAAAAAAAAAAAAAAGACTTTTGCCAACCTGAATGCTCCAGGAAACACAGTGTGTAAGTAATGCTGCAGAACCTGCTCAGTGCTCTCACAGGTGTGGAGTGGAGAAGGGGGCTGCTTTCCTGGGCAGCTGCTGCAAAGAAAACCAATTCAGGGTTATCCAGGTGACTTGACTGAAAATGTCCCTGATTCTGTTCTGCTATAAAGTAAGTAGTGTGTAACTGGCTAGATCACTAGACTTTTTTCTTTCCATTCAGCTGACACTCCTACTAAAAGGAACACAAATTACTTCTGTAAGGAATCATTGCTGTTGAGAGTGCCAGAGTTCTGAAGGGAAAAGTGCAGTTCAAATGCTGATTACCTGATGTGACTTTCTTTGCAAATTCCTCGTAGCACAACAGACTGAGCAAAACAGCAGCTGACCTTTTGCTCCCTACATGAAGACAGAAGCTTCCAGGGTACGTCCTGCTGGTAGGCACATAAAGTATCGGGGAGCGAGTAGCCACGTAGGACAGGAAAGGGGAGAGAAGCCCACGCAGCCGCAACCTGTGAGTCAGAGAGGGGGTGACAAACCACCCAGAACACACTCCCCAGATTGTGTGGATGTGAGGTGGAACACCAGCTCTTGCCTAGAGCAGTACTTCAGGTAGAGCTGAAAGGATCAGAAGCTGCTGTTCTCTATGCCCTTACCTTTCTGCCAGAGAAGTTAAGTGTTTCAGCAAGGTGCATCATAGAGGCCTGAGAGGAACAGAGCCGGTAAGGGGCAGTAAGGGTATCGAGCGCTGCTGCCAGGATTGCGCTACTGTGGTAGTTAGATGATGCCTGTGGAGGGAGATAAATGGAGGAGTTACAGGGCAAGTTCAATTCCTCTGTTCTTTAACCCATTTTTGTGTATTTAACTTGAGCATATTCTGAATTGGGCTTCTACAGAGGTTGTGTTTAACCATTATTTCACGTTTTGGATAAACAAGTCAGCTGCTTGCTAACACATCAACTGACAGTTTGCTCATCAACAACTTCTTAGTGCTCAGACAAGGTTGGAGTTACATACTCCACACGTGAAGAATAATGCAGTAAAGCTTTTTTTTTTTTTTTCAGTGCTGAAACTGAAGGCAGTACACCAATGTAAAGACTGAAAAAAGGAAATGTGTTAATATGTTTTAAAGTATGAAAATACTATGGGAATTAAAAGTTGACAGTTAAGGCTCTGCTAACAGGGAAAAAGCAGGGAAACAAATCTTTTCCGCTTAGCAGAACACTATCATGAAAAAACATTGCTGAAACTAAATAACTGCAGAAAACGCTGTTAGGGTGGTGAATCTGAAAAAGCTGAAAGCCAACCAAGGTAGGTTTTGTTTCTAGATAAACCACTCTGCCTTACATACATCACAGTTTATATATGGAAATGTGAGGGGAGGTTGTGGCTTGATTCCTAGACTCCCACTGAGCGACAAGGGGCAGAAGAGTGAGCTGTGACTGGAGAGACGGACAATTCCAAGGGCTGTGTTCATCAGTCTGTAAAAATTCTTCTGAAAATCCTGGAGGGGGGAGAAAATCCAAGCATTAGAATCTTAAAGATGCAAACAAGAAATGGTCTAATCACGGCTGAGCATGAAAGCATCACTGGTTCTTGTTTCCTCCATTGTTTACTTACTCCCACATTACTCAGGACTGGAGTCAAGCCCCAGGTCAGGATACCTTTTCCTGAATACTCATCGTAGAGCAGTTCTGTCACCTTGGCACCAACTCCAGAGAATCCATTGTGTAGGTCACAGAGGACTTGAAACCCCTGTGTAAAATGATGGCAGCATCTATGATTCTACTTAACCTTGAATAGAAAGTTTCTTGAAAGAAAAGGGAGTTAAACTGTCAAACCTGCAGATAATCACACTCTTCAACATAAAAGTGCAGCCGATCTTCCAACTCTTCTATGCAGCCAGGGTCCTGCAGGAGACTTTCACCTTGTCCAAAGGCTTCCAGACAGCCACATTCCCTTAGAGAAAAAAAAACAAACAAACAAAAAAAAGGTGGGGGGGAAGCTTACTCTATCCCCTCTTAATTATTCCTTGAAGGCAAAACCAAGATTCTGTTCTGGACAACAGAATCTGAACCAAACCTCTCAGCCATACCCATCGTGCATGTACTGGCGGATGACATAGATGCTCTTGGGATGCAAGTGCATGCTGAGGTAATCGGACCAGACCTGCGTGCTGCTGCCTGAGTAAGCTTCCTGGGAAAGGGCGAGTGGTGAAGAGGCAGGAGCTGCTCCTGGAACAGGACAGATGTAAAGAAGGAAGGTCTTTTCAACTGAACATTCCCTTGAATGAAGAAAACAAGAGCCTTTCATCTGGTGCAGTTTCTTAACCGGTTTACTGCATCCTTGACCCATCTTTCTGCAAGCAAATAAATTTCACCCCAGTTCTCCTTCTCCCTTTGTGCTTGTTCACTGACACATTCTCCAGCATCAGCTCATTCTACCCTTCTGGAAAAGTTTGCTCCCGGCAAAGCAACCGAGCCCACCAGAACCGGACAAACTCCAAGGAACGCCTCGAAAATGCGTGCACGCACCTTGAGCCGGGGTGCTGGACCTTCCCTTTCCCTCCGAGGAAGCATTTTCCTACGGAATAATCCCCCGGAAAAAAAAAAAAAAACAAACACTGTTACAGGCGGCTTCACCTCCTCCTCCCCCGCGTCACCAGGCAGACGTTCAAGCCAAAGCCACGAGTGACGGCGCGTGTCCGCCACGAGTGGGTCCCTCCCCCCGCCCGCCCTCACCGTGCGGCTCCCGCTGTCCCGCGGCGCGGAGCCCCCGGCCGGGCCGCGCTCCCGGTACGCGGCCACCGCCCCGTCCCTGCAACACAAACGGGCGGCAGCTGCGGCGGCCCCGCCTCTCCCCCCCCCCCCCCCCCCCCAACTCTCCCCCCGCCTCCCCCCGCACTCACCAGGCCACCGGCGCCTCCGCGCCCGCGCCGCCGGGCCCCCGCACGCCCACGCCGCCTGCAAGAGAGGGGCCGGTCACGGCGGAGACACTCCCCCACCCCCCACCACCCCACGCGTGAACCCGCCCCGCGGTACCTTTCAGCTCCAGCGCCACCAGGCGCGGCGTGTGCGTCTCGCGGCCGCCCGCCGCCCGCCCCGCGCGGAGCAACGCGTGGGCGCGCAGCTCGGCGGCCCCGGCGGGGCTGCGCAAGGTGGCGGCCTGCGGGAGCGGGGAGCGAGTCAGACCCGGCCCCGATCCCGATCCCCCTCCCCACGCACCCCCCACCCCACCCCCCCGCACCTGTAGCCCCCACCAGTGGGCGCCCACGCAGCCCGCGTACTGCCCCAGCTGCAGCGTCACCACCTCCCCCGGCATCGCGGCTCCGCGCCACGCAGGGCGCATGCGCGTCCCCACCCCCCTCAGCGGCGACAACCCCCGGGAGGCGCGTCCCGCCCCTCACACCGACACCGAGAAGCCGCCGCCGCCGCTCCCGCCATTTATTGCGCTAAAGGGGCCCCGCCAGCCGCTCCAGCTGCCGCGGGTTGGAGCCGCTCAGGAACCGCAGCTCCTCCTTGCCGGCCTCGGTGCGCGCTACAAGAGAGAAAAAGGTTCGTTAGGGGCGCGGCCGCACACCCCACACACCCCCCCCCCCCCCCCCCGCCGCCCCCCGCCCGGAGCTGACCTTGCTCGTGCTGCAGCCACTGCCGGTCCAGGTAGTAGCGGTAGCAGCTCTCGAACTCCTTCGGGTTGTAGTTGGGGACCGTGATGGGGACAAAGGGGTCCAGGGCGTCGAAGCCCTCCTGCGGAGCAGAGCCGAGGGTGAGACACCCCCCACACACACCCCCCCCCTCGAACCGGGAGGCGGCTGGGGGGAGGGCTCGGCTTGGCCGCAAACGAGCTCAAGCAAGGGAATGCAAAGAATAAAGTTACGGATTGAAGAGGGACTGAAGCGTCGTTACCACCCTGGCCTGAAAGCCCCTCCCCGGGCAGGACGGGGGGGCCCGGCCAGGACTCACCTTGCCCAGCAGCTCCTGGGGCAGATAGGCAGAACTGGGTTTGAAGAGAGAGCCGGTCTGGCTGAGGGTTGTCACAATAGCACCTCCACTCTAAAACGTAGATTAGAAACCTTTTTAGCTGCAACCACAGTATTTGGGCAGTAGTTTGATTCTAAACAAGTGAGGTATTGTCTTTCATCTTCCAGTTACTTCAATTCCAAAACTATGTAATTTACTTCTTATGTGAACCCTAGCCACTCCAAATACACATGCAGCCCAGGGAATATATAGCTGGTGTTTCCAGTGCTGGCATTTAAACATGCCATGGCTTTCTACTGAAACAACTGAAATACTTTTAAAAGGACTTTTCTATATACTCTTAAACCTCAACACTACCTGTTAGAGATACTGGCATCCAGTAAAATGAACAGGAAGCGGAGGGAGTTGACCTCTGATAGCAAAATACTTAGAAACTAAAAGTTCTCATTAGTTCAAAAAATCATGAAGTGTCAAAATGGGTATTAAATACTTCTAGCTCAGGGTCACAAGTGGCACGGTGATCAAGAAAAGCACTGGTACATATTTGACCTGTTCTTACTCTCTTTGGGTAACGTCAGAAACACTGACAAGATACTAACCCCTAACGCACTGTGCTCACTCTCCTTTGCCGAGGGAACAGTGTGATGTTAGATTTGCAGCTTTACACCTAGCAGCGTGTAGCTTTAATTGCTGAGAATAACACACCCGAAGGTACAGACTGGAACTCACCCAATTATTCATCATCATCTTCCTTAGATTGTACACAAGTGTCAGCTCCTCTGGAGAAACCTGGTGAAGGTTGTCTGCGTTACTTTTTTTTTTGCCAGCAGTTTCTATCTGACACATAAATTCCCCTCCCCTACTTTAAATTAGACTGGAAGGATCATTTGCATCCTTTAGACTCTTTTTCTTTGCTTTTACTTAGCACTGTAGCATTCAGCCATAGTAATGTTACACAGAGAAACACCCAAACCTTTCCTGCTATAATGAGACGTATATGTATTTTTTACTTACTGAGAAAAGTTTCTTCAGTAGAAATTGTCTAATGCACAACATGAATTTTACAGGTCGCTCCAAGCTAGCAAAGCCAAATGTACGCCTTTCAGGGATTACCACAGAACTTAAAAATGAACAAAACACCCTCCCCTGCAGTTGGAATGCAGAAATATCATCAGAGCAGATCACTTCTTACAGGGCTTTTGTCTTCCTTCTTTAATGTAGTCCTTCCCCAGAGCGCATTGACGCCGTCCACTGCCACAAGAAGTCGGAATGAGCCCAGATGACATTGCTGCTTTATCTCTTTCAGCACAACCCCTACAGCATCGCTGGCATTTCTCACGCGAGCTAAACCCTTTAAATAGGAAAAGCCACATAACTCAGGTTGGTTTTCTTGTTAATATATAATGCTGGCAACTTTGGGCACTGTCTGCCCATTCTAAGGGGGAAGGAAGATAAAACAACAGTCTACAGTCTGTTCCTTTCAAAGGAGTAATCTGGTCTAAGGTACTGAGCATCAAAGACGTAGGAACTTTCAAATTCTAATTTTTGCTTCTACCCAAGTTCTCTGTACAACTTCCTTTACAGATCCATCACATCTTCCACAATGGATGTTATAGCCACCTTGTTGATAGGGAAATGCTCTCCATTTCCTAGAATTCATATTTGTAAAATCTTTAGAAGCAGTTGATCTACATACACAATGATGGGATCTCCTCATAAAAGGTGAGACAAAGCCAGAAGCAGTTGTTACTCCTTACCTGCTCCACCACTTCACCCAGCGGTCTGCCCTCCTCAGTGCTTTCTTGCTTGCCCCACACATATTTTTTTTGTGTTTTTATCTGTGGTAAGAGAACTACAATTAGACTGGGAACTAAGTAGTGCAAAGGCAGTTTGGCAAGTCTGGATGGCAAGATTCCTAGTTCTTTGCCAGCATTAAAGACTAGTGCAGAATCTGGGAGAAGTATTCATGGCAAATAGCCATCCCACAGGGGGGACTTAAAGTACTTCTTTTTCTACAAAAACTGAATTCCAGTGAAGGGTAGGGTTTGGGTTTGTATGCAATAAAAGCGCATGCATTAATACACAAAGCATTTTTAGAAAATGAGCAAATCTAGAACTTGTGTCAAGGTGCTCAACGACAGGAAGCACGTGCACATGCAGTCCCTGAGAAAGGATCCTGTGGGTAGTTCTTAGCTACTAACCAAGACAACTTGACAGGCTCTACAAACCTCTTTTAGGAAGCGTTCATTTGAGGCTTTGAAGTTCTTAAGCCAGACTGATGCTTGCAAAGGCTGATCAAGCCGTTCTTTGTTGTAGGAAGACTGTATAAGCTCCCTGCAGTTTTTCACCCAGAGGTGAGCTGTAAGCAAAATAAAACAGTTGCTTTTTTTTTTTTAAGTCAAAATAATTATATGAGTTGGGTGGTGAGGGGTGTGTTTGTATGTCTTATCCTTACTCTGCTAAGAATTTCTGGTAAGAAAAGTCTGCAATTCTTAATGGAGAAGACTCTCCCTTGAGAACAGAGGTCACACAGACCCACACACCGTGTGTCTCCTGTCATACTCACTAACAGCAGGAAAAAGACAACTGACTATAAGTATGTGAGAGCAGGTGAAAACAACTGTTCTAGCTTATTTTGGGGGTTTGTGCTTTATAAGCCTTTTCCTACTATGGAAAAACAAAGATAATTTGCTGTGGCCTACCCTACATCTTTCTCCGGAAGCAGCATCTTCCGGACCAGTATGTGTATTTGATGTAATAACACAGACAGCATCGGTATTTCTTACCGTCTGGGATGTGCAGCACCAGCCAGCCTTGCCTTACACAGTAGTGAACTACGTGACACAGAGTCATAGTTTTCCCTGTTCCTCTTTCACCATCTCCAACATGAACTGTCAAGGAAAGTCTCTGAAAAAAACACTTAAATTTATACTTGACTGTAATTCTTTCACAAAAGACATAAAGGGAGTTCAAAGCAAGGAGGGCACTCCATCATGCTTTTGTTCAGCAGCAAACCTAGCCTAAAGTTTCTTCTCTCTCTATGCCCCCACCCCATGACATCAGAGCTGATGATTCCCATTCCCTTAGTTGTGCTTATAGCCCTGGTGTAGATCTGTGCCATAAACCAAACTGGGCTTAGAATAGAAGTATACAAGCTTCATGACCTTCCCAGACTAGCTTTGCTGACAACAGACATGTGGCAGAACCACCTCCTGAAGACTAAACCACAGTGGGCAGCACAAGATCAAAACATCACCCTCATCCGCGCAAATTCACCTGCTTATATTTAACTTGCATTCTACCATCAAGTGAGTGATAAAGGATACAGATCACATATCTGACAGCTGGGTGTGCAAAATTGGAGCTTTTCAGGTAAGTGAAAAGTTCTAGAGCTGGTTTTCTCACCATCAGGCAGGCTTCATTGAAGGTCTTAATCTGAGAAAAGGAACAGAATGTGAACAAGAAGCCAGGTGCTGGCCCACTAAAGCTGTTCCTGGCATGCCTCCATCTCTGACTGGTACTGGTCAGGGTCTGAATGTCCACTGCTCTCCCCTTGTCTACCAGACCAGTCATGCCATCATAGAAGTTTATCAGGTTGGAAAAGCCATGCTGACTACCCCTGATGATTTTCTTGTCCTTTGTGTGCCTGGAAATGGCTTCCAGGATTAGCTGTTCCATCACATTCCCAAAGACCAAGGTGAGGCCGAGCGGCCTGTCAATGAATCAGAAGTCAGTCACCTAGAATTACTAATTCACAGGTAAGAAATCTGTTCCTAAACTCAAGTAGGCAGTCTGCATCAGTTGCTTACGTGTAGCCTGATCCAGTCACAGCATGATCTGTCTCACAACAGAAATCAAGAGGCAAGATTTTTTGTTGCTGATATAAACCTATTTCACGAGACAGCCTGTTTCATACAGAAACATAACTGTGGAAAATATTTCTGTAATTCATTACGTACTCAAAAGTTAGAGATTAAAAATATTGGATAGAATGCTGCATAAGGTGGAATTCTCACACCCTCCTGCCACTATTCTGTTAGGTTGACTCCTATCTTTTAGATGTGGAAAATAACAGTAAGGACCAGGAATAATGGCATTCTTGAGCACATCACTCTCTCTTATTCCAACAGAGAAGCATTGTAGTTACCAGATGGATCTGGTTCTTCCCACATACCAGTCCACTCCCTACAAATCTGCTCCAAGACAAAATACCTGCTGCTGGAACCGATAGGGCAGTCCATGTGGAAACACAGCTTTCACCTCCTCGAGTGGAATGCTGTAATGGCGACCCTCGTGGTGTTCTGTATGGTTGGCCTGGGAAGGTAAAATGCAAACTGTGACACTTAGGAAAGTCTGATACATGTTTTCTGGATACAGAAGGCCTGAGAGAATGGAACTGGGGGGGGGGGGTGGAGTGCTCAATCGAAGCAACTACTTACTGAGAGTTAGAAGAACTAACATGTTAAAAGTAAACCAGGAATTGTAGTATCAGGACACTAGTGGCAGATGCTTAGGAAGCATCTAAAGAAAGGATATCCTACCTGGCAATAAACAATAAAGGGATTCCTTGAGCTTGTAGATGAACCATGGTGTTTTGGGGGCACCGGTGGCCCTACGCTTCATGAATTTATATAATCTTTTATTAGTCCACATGTACTTCTGGTCACCACAATATCTTAACAGCAATATGATCCTCTTTTGAGTTATCTGCAGGATTCAAACTTACTTTAAATCTGCAACAAAATTATGTTTTCTGGTTTGCCTTTTGTTGTTTGTCTCTCAATAGTAATTCCTAATTTGCCTTGTTAACTAGTACTGGTTGCTTAAGAACTCATGATCTGTTTTCTGGGGCAATAATTTCAAGTCCCTTGTTGTGACATAAGTAGTCAGTATTATTCCTCCAGTGGATTCACATTATTCTGCATTTATTTATATTGATTACTTTAAGATATCTGACTATGCACTCGAAGAAGCAGTTGTTGGTGGTATCTGAAAATTTAATACCTGTTTCATGCCTCATTATACAGCCTTGTTTTTTCCTTTCATTATTCTTCTACCATGCAATACTTGCAAAGATTGGTTTAGTCATCAGTTTGTGTGTCTTGTATAATTAGGACAGTACACAGAGACACTATTCTGCAGTACTTCCTCTGTGACTTTTACCAACTTTTGTGCCAGGCTTTGTCTGGCTTTTTTAGCAGCTTTGTGCAAAGCTCTGAAGCTTGTATTATGTCCCGCTCAACGCTTTCTGCACTTTTCCATGGATTTAAAGTGAAAAATCCTCCTCTTTATTCTTGTGCATGCCAATCTCCTGCTTACATTTTGGTTCAGATGGAATCAAAATATAACAACTGCTTTGTTTTCTTTATTTTGCATAATAATGATCCAGGAGAAGTAGTTTTATTTACTATGCAGAAATAAAAAGAAGCAGTCATTATTTCTGCCAGCTTTAGTAGATTTGGGGGCTGATCCAGACTTTCCTTGTATTCTTTATTAGCTTTGGTGTAGACCCATAGATTAATTTACTGAGGCCCAGAACAGGTGAGACAATACTGGCCAGGGCTTGGTTGCTCACCTGTACAATCTGGCTGACAAATTGTTTGCCCAGAACAAATGGATGAGGAAAAACCCCTTGCAATGAGTACTGCTACCGTGACCTGGAACCATGGAACCATGTGAGCAGCTGTACCTACAGGTTTGACTACTGCCTGCTTTTGCCACGAATATTTTGCTTTTCCCAGTTCCTTGATGGACTCTTCATGCGCAACTGCTGCAGCTCTGTTGCAGACCCCTGAATTCTCTAGCCCCAGGATTCTTGCTACATGTTAGTCTCCCTCCCTTTCTTCAGACCAGATTTTCAGTCTTTCAGCATGCCACATGCCTGTTCTCTTATCTTCCACTGTGAAAAGCCCATGGTAACTACACCCCTATTCCATACCTTACTGAGGAAGGGTGCTCACAGGACAGGTCAATGCATCCTGGACTGCATGGTTTACCTTGGGACAGCTGCAGGATTTGAAGTACCCACAGGTTTGCTGAACTGTTTATAGGAAGAAACCATTTGGTAACTTCAGCAAACTGCTAAACTACTTGAGTTGCCAATCTGCTGTTTACTGGTCAGTAAATCTTAGCAACAGGAAGAACATTTTTAAAACCTGGCTGGTCAGTAGCTCCTCTGCTGTAAGATGTTACTTGAAGATAGACTGAAGAGGAGACCTATTAAGAAAGACTTCATTTTTTTTCCAAGCAGAGCTGTATTTCAAACTCTGGGCTGGACTCCCTAGAGTTTTCCTGCATGTGTTGAACACAGACTAACAGCACCTGTGTTTGTGCATCACAGTGCTATCTGTGGACTTGAACAGAAGAGCAGTACTCCAGAGACCATTTTCAGTCTCAGTTTCATCACTGCCTTGCTGCATAACCTTGGGCAAATTCCTTCACTCTTCAGCTCCTACATCTATAAAGTGAGTCAGTATCTTTACCATTATATTGAGTTTTGCTAATGGGAAGGTATATAAAAGCTAAGTCTTATTAAAAATTTAGCTTTCATCTGGTCTTCTTAATCCATTTTTAATGGAACTTTACGGTGCACCAGTATGAGTGCAGTCAGAGCTATCAGGTTTGCTGATGAAGCGAGCCAGCGGAACCTCTCAGCTGCAATACAGCAAGTCTGAGGAACGCTGATCTGACAAATTAATAAGCAATGGCGGTTGTCGCCAAACATCAGGCACATGAAGTCAGAATGCCACAGCCAGTTGCCTGGCAACGTAAATGGTAGGCACAGGACAGTGGGGACAATCCTTGCCATCTGGACTCTTCTGTGCAATCTATAGAGACACCCGCATCACGTGAGTAAGATCATCTGCATGCTGCTGTTTCCATAGAGACCCCAGAGGAATCAGTATTGAAAGACTCCAATTACAGAGGCAGCAGAAAAGCACCTCAAAGGCTTATTCCATTCATTTATTCCACTTCATTTTGTGCTTGAGACAGAGTGTGAGGCTGGAATTATGATCCTGGAGAGCTGTGCTGTGGTCATCTGGGGTGTGTTTTTTATCCCCCTTCATAGCCAATTTGGGGAGGTTAGTCAGGGAAGAATAACCCTGGAGTTGAAATTAATGGTGTCTGATGGCAAGCTAAGCCACATCTGAGCTTCTGCAATACACAGTCTAGCTCATCTGTGCAACTACAGAGAGGGAATCAATACTTGTTCCCAGGAGCTTTCAGTCAGAGGACCAGCCCTGTCTTATTTAAACCCAGGCAGGTGCACTGCACAGCCATGGCCTGTTTTCCTTTGGGCTGGGGATCATGGTCAACATGCCTATTATTAGGCCTGTGTACTCCCTTCCCTTATATTTACTAGAACAACACAATCCCAGTAAGCACTCCCGGTCCCAGCATGTCCACAGGCAGACTGACAGAATTTAGGCACTTGCTGTCTGACAGTAACAATTGTGGCAGTAACTCACCGGGTCATTCTCACTGGTACAGAAAAGTGCTCTTGATCTTTCTGCCAGTGTTTGGACATCCTGGCTGACAACAGAACTTAAGCAATACTTGGCTGCCGTGTGGAGGGCATATCCATGGTCCAACTAAGAAAAGAAAAAGGCAAACAGACAACAAACTTCTCAGCAATCAAAGATTACCAGTAAAAAAATCCAGTTAGTAGTTTATTTTGTACGCTCATTGCATGCAAATTATGATGGGGTCAAGGTAGCATGCAATACAGAATAGAATTCTCCATAATTAGAATAAAAATTCATCATTAGAATATAAATTCATCATGAAAAAACACATTTCACATTTAGATGGCTGCTTCAAAACCACTTCCACTCACTTAAGTCTGTTACCACCTTAAGTCATCTAGAGATCCAACCCAAAAGATATCCCCGTCAAGATTGCTTAAGAGCACAAGTACAGACATTAGTCTTATTACTGGGAAGTTCCCACAATGTTTCTGCTTGCACCAATGAATAGTAGCTAGTACCTTGAAAATTCAAGCTGTCTAATAATCCATAATCACCTCAATTATTGAGGGATTAGTGCCGTGCTGCCCACTATTTGATATTTATAATTACATTCCCTGCACTGATTTTCCTAACTGTGTTCCTGCATACAGACTCTTCCATTATAATACAGACGTGGCTGAGAAACTGAAACAGCCAGCTAAGCTGATTAATTCTTTTTTCCATAGGCAGACTGCTGAAGCATGCCTGTAAAGCCTAGCCAAAATAGGCAAGAAAGTGAGTAGCAGAAGGACAAGCATTTTATTATGCTATGGTGAAAGAAAATATAACCATTTGTCAATGAATAAAAAAAAGCGTATCCTCCAAACAGAGGCTGTGACCAAAGCAAGCAAAACTGAAAGCCATCCTTCATATTACTGACTGGAACAGTTGCAGGCTCCAACTGTAAACAGAGCAAGTAGTTTCCTATTTTGTCTGCTAAGATGAGAGTAGCCATAAACTAAAGTTTAGAGACAGGAACAGCTGTTTCAGTTCTCCATGGCATGATGCAATTCTGCTGTCATCCGAGTTTTCCTCAGGGGGTCATTTGAAAGCCACAAGGGCTCGGAAGAAAGTGTAATGTCAGATCACCCCACATCCCATGTTAAACACACAATGGACTCCTGAATCAGCATTTCAGTACTCGCTCTCCTTTTAGGGAAGGAATTAAACTGGTTTGTACTCAACACTAGATACCTATATAGCAAACTACTGCAGTGTAAATATGGAAGATCACTAAACACTCATTTCTATCATCACATTCTTCTCTTGTTCCCACAATGTTCCTTTCTTCCTCAAATTCAAACGACCATTTAGGATGTCTTATTTGCTATGCTTAGTTTTAGGTCCACAAAAATGACATTTTACTGCCTAGAGCAAGGCACTAAGATGCTAATTTAATACATGAATAACTGGAGCATGCAACTATTGTCACCTATTCACCTAGAAAATGTCAGCCCAAAGTCATTCCTAGTCTCTCTCATTTTCTTTGAGCATCCTGCATTTCCTCCTTCTCAGGTCTCAAGTGAAGGTATTGGGGCTGTGAGCTTTGCTTACTTAAAAGGCAAGCTTACTGCTCTGTGGACATCCTTTCTCTGGAGTACCATACAAATCCTTGTCCCTGACCTGTGCAACAGTGAATGAGAATTAAGCAAGGATTAACTTCTTGTTCTGAGTGTGTATAGTTTTTATGTGTGTCTAGATACAACTCAAGACTTCAGCTGAATGATAGTCAAACCAATATTATCAATACCACTTTTTTTAAAAGCACAATCCCAGAAGGTCAGCAGGAGTTGGATTCTCTATGGTACAAAAGCCAGTTCCTAGTAAGTTCTGTGAAGGGAGTAGAAGACAGCACAGCAAGACAGGATGCAAGTGTGAAAAGGACTTTGTCTTTAAGTTCAGTTCTCTGTTCTTGCAGCCAAGTACAGAGAATTTCTATTTTTTCATCAGAAGAACATATCCCGTCTTTAAATTACTACATCTTTCTCCTGGAATGATACCGTTTTAGAACATCACAGCTTTGAGCCTTAGCATGATAATGTGTTCCTCAAGATCACTGTGTAGCTTTGTAGTACCTGGAGACATGCAATCCTTCCTAACTCTGAGGTGCTACAGAATCAACACATGCTCCTAGAGTAGTTAATACCGCGCTACTCAGTTATCCTGAATTTGAGATACAAACTTGCATTTCACGGATTACTGCATTTCTGTTTACAAAATTCACACAGAAGTACATCTGGATTTTTAACAGGCTACAAGAATACCTTTGAGTGACCTAAAATACCACTGCTAATGCATCATATATTATGACTTTATGCCACTTGGTCCCTCCTCCTGAACAAAAGACAGTGGCTTATCACTGATTCCCTTGGCTTCGTGCAGAATGCCAGAAACCTTTCTGGTTTACTGTTGAGCTCTGTGTAGTAAATCCTAACATGTACGCAAGGTTCTCAAGTTTTCACATCATCTTTTAACAGTTTCTCCTAGTAGTGTAGAGTGGATTTTATAGTAAGTTTCCATCTGCCAAAGGACAGAGTAATCTAACTCAGATCCCTGAAATGGCAGCAATCACGTGGTATATGGAGATTAATCACAAAGTCATGTGCCGTAAGGTGGAGCTGTTCCTACATGTTTCCACATATCTTAGTCTCTAGAAAAGACTGTTTATTTCATAAAGGCTGCCATCATAAGTACAGTAGTGTACAACCAGAATCTCATCTCTAGAAGCAAGTAGTTATACAGTCATCCTATTTAATGGCTGCATATCACTATGTACTAGTGAAAAAGCACTTAAAAGACAACAGCAAACAAACCAACTGAAGTTCTTCACCATTAGAAAGTCATTCTAGATATGCAACATTAACTCCTTATGCTGTTTAAAATATAAGGAAGCTTTCCTGATAATGTAGTGCTGCTGTGTTGTTGTGGCAGAGCTAATATGACTACATCCACCTGAAGCACTGAGCCAAGTTTAGCAAAATGGTCTTCCCACCAGCAACACAGGCTTTGTGAAAGGCTGCTGGTTCTGTTCTGTATAAAGGGGTTCTTCCTTTGTGCTTTTCAGCAGTATAGAGCAAATAGATTCTCTGTTTCCCAAGAAACACTTGCACTGAAGATGTAGAATTTCAGCGTTCTGGACATTACAGAATGCCAAACTTTAGTCTTCCAACAAATGTCTCATTTAAGCCAACTATCTGGGCTTGCTTGCACATTCTCTCCCTCTCTCCAGCCATCAGAGAGAAATATAAAAGGAATAACACACACAAGCTGTCTCTCTTTCCTTTGCCCACAATGGGACCTTACATAACCCAACTTATAGGAAGCACCAAGTTTTTAGATGATGAATGTAAGAAGAATCTCACTTTTTACAGTTGTAAATTGTCATTCTGGTTCACAGGACAGCCAAAATACTAGAAGCAGCAGCACGCTATTACAGGACTTACCTTTAGAGGATGGTAGACAAGTCCTTTCAGACTTCTCAGCATTTTTCTGCAGAGACAGAAGTGGATATTTAGGTTTTTTATTATGTTTAATGTATCTTCCACTGGCACCGAATCATTCCTGCCCAAAGAGGTTAAAGTCTAGGCACACAAATAATTCAGACAAACTGTCAGAATACTCTGCAGCAATACAGATGACTACTGGTAATCAGCGTCATTTGCCTAATAAAAAAATATTCCCTTAATTATGTTGCCTTTTTTCAGAGAGACATTTATGGAAAAACCTTACAAGTAAAGATATTTTATTCATCTAGTGAGAAGGACAGATTCTCTTTTTAGGGAAAGGCATCTATTTTGACTGCAGCTGTTAAGAGATGCAAGGGCAAGGGCTACATGGTGGTTATTTTGAATAAACTTCAATAATGCAGAGACTGAAGATGCTTCTGTGTTTCCTGCTTCATCCCAATCATATATTAGTATCTACTGCTCAGCCATCTTTGATTACAACAGGAGGAAAAACCCAAAACAAACCACTTGAGGAATTGTGATGCATAAAGGCAAAAAGGTAAGTAAATTAGTTAAATCTGTAATCTATGTCAGCATTCAAGGCCTTCTTCACAGCACTTACACAACACCTTAGGAGAAAGTAATGACAATATCTAACAAAGATGCTTTAAGAATTCTTGGTTGCAGTAAGTTACACAATGCATTCAAAGGGAGATAATTACCTTGTAATTCCTTAGGAGGAACAACTGTCTTAATGAAATTAGTGGTTAACTGCAGTGTTAATGACAAAGATGATTTAACTGTATAGAATGGCATTTACAACTGTTACTGCATAGAATGAGAAAACTCCATGCTAGAGGACGTTAATTTAGTAAAGATGTTTTACATTCTTTCATCTAACAATCAATGCAAAATACATATTTTTTAAAAAAAGCCCCAGTTTTGTGATTTCAAGAACAACTGAAGATATCAGCCTGTGGAGGCTTTTCAAGTAATTTTTCTTAACCATGCTAGCATGTACAGCAGAAGAGGAAGGAGAAATTCTGTTCCACATGAGAATGTATTCTTTTTGTTTCAAATAACTGTTTTAACAGTAAAGAAAGTAGGGATGGGAAAGCTGCTTTCTCAAACACAACTCATAAAATTAAGGAGTCACAAAACCCTGAAAATTTATGTTTATTTTGGGCACCTCTAACATTCTGACAACATTCTCGAATGACTTTAACGCAAGTTGTAAGGGCTGTTCTCCAGGGTTTGTCTATGTGTCTATGTCTAAGAGCTTTAGCAAAAGAGCAGATTAAAGCTGCAGCCATTTCACTGATTTGTACCTGGATTAAGTTACTAAACTGTCCAACAATATTGTTTTATTAAAAAAAAAAAAAAACAAACTTGGCTGCTTGTGGTCTTTAAGAAAGGATTTATAAATCAGAATATAATTTGTTAGTAAAAATTATGCAAAAAAACCTTGAAAGTTATATTTGCAGACATCACTAAGTAATCCTAACCTATCGCCTCTCCAGACTAAATGAAAAACAAATTTCTGGTTGCTTGCTGTCTATATATTTACACGGGAGTGAGAAGACAATATATAAATATGTAAACACAGGACTAGAAGACAGGAACAACTTGGGGATAACCAGCGTTGCCATCTTTGGACGACTGATGTCTGCACGTCCAGTGCTGTTTCAGGGACCTATTCCCCCCAGTCTTCCCTACCATGTGCTCTCCACCGTACTCTATTATTCTCTTTTTCTAGACATACGTAGCACTAAGACAACAAAGACGCATAAAGCACGTCATTCAACCTGATCTAGAAATGGGGGCCACTAGAGAAAAACCGCGAAAACTGAAGTTCTGCTCGTAAAACCTGCAAAGGAGAATTAAAGGGAACCCGCCGCCTTTCCATTCCCGCCTCCCGGCGGACTCCCGGCTGCTTCCCTTGTTCACCGCCGCTCAGCCCCGCTTCCTCCCGCAGCCCCGCCGCCAGATCGCGCCGCGATTACCGCCCCGAGCCTCCCCTCACGCCGCTGCCCCTCAGCGCCAAGCAAGCGGCCAGCACCGGGCGATACCCCTGACCCTCACCGCTGGCGGCAGGCCCGGCCCGCCCCGCTGACAGGATCCGCCGCGCGAGACACCGAGGATGACGCGAGGCCGCTACGGGTCCCGGGCAGGGCCAAGAGCCGCGGGGCAGGCCGGCGCAAGCCCCGCCCACCGCGGGGCTAACGGCCCCATCCCCCGGCGCGGGGCGGGGCTAGCGCGGAGGGGGTGTGGCTGGGAGGGGGCGGGGCGGGGCGCGGGGAGGGCGGGGCGCCGGGCGCTCGCTCGCGGTGGAGCAGGAGCCGCCGCCATTTTGGTTTCGCTGCCTCGGCTCGGATCAGGGCCGAAAGCGGCGGCCGGTCGGTGCGGGTCCCGCCCTGGCCCCGTCCGCGCGGGCGGCCGGGAAGATGCGGCGCGGAGGAGCCCGTCCTCGGTCCCGGCCGTGTTGTCGCTGACACGGTGAGGAGCGGGCGAGCGGGCGTCGGGCGGGGACTGGGACCGCCTCAGGCCCGGAGCCCGGGGGGAGGGGAGGCTGGCCGGGGAGCCGCGGCGGGGGCCGCCCCGCCCCGCACCGGCGCCGAGGCGCGCGCTGCCCCGCATCCCCGCCGCGCCGCCCGGCCCTGCGTCCCGTTTGCGGTGCATCCCCGGTGGCGGGGCGCGCCGGGGCGGCGGCGGGGGGATCCCCGGCGGCGGCGGCGGGGGGGGGGGGGCGCCCCGGCTGGGCCCGCGCTCGGAGCGGAGCGGGGGATCCCGGCAGGGCCCTTGCGTGAAGCGGGGCGGGGGATCCCTGACAGCTTGGCCCGCGTCGGGAGGGGGCGGGGGGATCCCTGACAGCCGGGCCCGCGCCCGGGAAGGGAGGCGGGGGATCCCCGCCAGCGGGGCCCGGACGCGGGGCGTCCCGGTGACCGGAGCGGTGTGCCCGCCGGGGAGGCCGTGTGCCGGCGGGACGCCCGCAGCCGGGCCCGTGCCCTGCGGGGGTGGAGGGAGCCTGACAGCCGCGCTCATGCGTTCTGTCGGGCCCCGCGGGAGCGGGGGGGCGGGATATCACCTGACAGCTGGCCCGGTGCCGCGCTGGGGGGGCCGGGAGGGCGCGGGTCAGCCCTGGCAGCGGCCCCGGGGGAGTCCCTCGTCGGCCAGGTGCCCGTGTCGGGTTTCAGGAAGTTTCCTGGTGATCAGGTCTGTGCGCAGGTCTCTGCATCCCTGAAACTTTCATTTTTCTGTAGGGCGGAGATGGTGGGAAGAGTGTAGTCCTGCCATTATGTGAAAGGCGGTGGTGCAGGGGGAGCTGGGGGTGCTGAGGTGATGGAGGCAGGGGATGTCTTTGGCACTTTTTTTTTTTTTTTTTCATGCTTGCTGGGATATTGGCTAGTTTACTAGGTCAATGGCTTATTGACTTTTCTGCTTGCAATCCTTCCCCCCCTCCAAAAAAAAAATCATACTTCTGAAATTTTACTTTCATTGGATTTTTCATCCTATTTTAGTTGTATTGACCAGTAATTTGGGATTAGGTGGTTGAACTTAATGTATTTTAGCCTTACCCATCTCTTAGATCAGAAGCCCAAATGCATTGCTGTCCTTTCCTTTCTGTTAGATAGTCTCCTGACTTTCTAACTTCTGTTTTCACCCTTGGTTTGTGGTTCCTTCACCCTGTTAATTACCTAGCAGAGAACTAGAAAGTACTTGGAATGTGGGTTTCCATCAGATGGCCTCGGGACACGCATTCGCTCTTCTGTTAGTTGTGTGTTGTCAGGAGCCAGTAAGGGAAACCTGAGGTAGTGGGTTCTTACACTGGCTTTTCAGTCTTGTTAGGAGAGATTTGGGGAGTAGGGACCGCAGGATGGATGTGTGGTAAAAATCTTTGACTTTACATTCAAACATTTAAATATACTTAGTTTTCATTTTCAGGAACAGTGTGCCTTTTTTGCATCTTTCGTTCTTTATTTTGTCTTCCTTGCATTAATCTAGATTGCACCTGCAAAAGTAATGTTTTCCAAGAATGTGGGTTTTCTTGGGTGAATCCTGAAAGACTTGTGTTTCATGTGGTCATCCTTGAGGACCTTGAGACCATCCCTGGTGCTTCTGCCTCTGTGTGAATGGGGAAGTTGTAGCAGCTGGTTGAACATATGGGTAGAGATGGGCTCTAAAATCATCATCTGTCTGCCTACTTGAGTTCTTAAGAAGCATTCTTACTCAAAAATTAAAGCCTCAGTAGCTTTTCTAAACTGTATAAGACAGATTTTTTTTTCTTATTTTGAGGGGGTCTAAGTACATCTTGTTTTTAAAGATAAAATTATCACAACTTCTTTTTGGACTTTAGTTACATTTGATTGCTACAGGCAGTCAACAGTCATCTAAAATGCACTTAATGTTTGAGTGATAATAAACAGTAAAATAATTTGAGTCATAATTTACAAAAAGATGCATCTTCTTTTTAGGAGTTTAAGCTGTCCTTGAAGATACAAAAAACAATTTAAACACTTGGTACAAGAGACAGGCTTATTGATACAAACTATAATGCTGTTGTCAAAAGAGAAAAATGGCAATAGCACGTATAGTTCCTGAAATACAGTAATTTTTAAATAGGTATTGTTGTCAAATGGATTGTCAACTTTAAAAAAAAAAAAATGTGCTGCCATTGGCAAGAGGTCGACTTTTGCCATTGTGGACACATTTCCTCCACTCCAATGAGGTTGTGTGTTTCATCTCACAGCTTTCAAAAAGAAAAAAAAAATCTGATATGCAGACCTAATGTGATTATTCTGTGAAAGCAAAATCTTTATTTATTCATAATTTTCTGTATCATGGCATTACCTGTTGTGCAGTACAGCTCACATGGTGTGTATGGCCGTTCTAGCACTGGGGTATTTTTGGCATAGCCAAGGACATTGTCTGCACATTATGTCAGGTGTTAAAGGTGAAATACTGGTTTACTATGTCCCTTACGTTATCCTTTACTAGGTCAGTAGAAATAAAAGTTTTTTCTTAAGAACAATCCATTGAAAAGCATTAGTCGTAGAGACATACCTCTCAGGAAGTTCCTGAATCACAAATTTGGAGGCTGGGATAATATTTTAGTGGAATTACCACAGCATATGTTGGGGGTTTTATGCTTTTCCCTAGGCAATCAGTATTGGCTAATGTTGGGACTAACAGCCTAAGGCTAAATGAACCTTTGGTCTGATCAAATATGGGTTTTGTTATGCAGTGTTTAGCAATTTCATATTAATTTGCATATGAATAGTGAAACAACAAAATTATCAGACAAGTCAAAATTCAGTCTTGCGTTTCCAAGCTTCTTGGTTAAGGTACGATATCAAAAGAAGTATGATTAAGATACTAGAAGAAACATTATATCTGCTTACAAAGTTTTCCTCTCACTGGAGCATACTTGCAAAGTGTGTCATCATGTCTGCTCTCTGCATTTCTTCTTACAAAATAAGTGTGATGCTGCCATTTGCTCTCCCAACACGTGGCCCATACTGTCTTTGCTATGAACACTTCTGTAGAATATTCTTGACAAGACAGGTACTCTCTTCTTTTATGGCTGTCAAAACCACATTTAACAGATTCAATTTGTAAAATATGATATTTGTCACCTCATATAACACAAACAGTAACTTTATTTCTGACGAGTGTCTCCATTTCTTCTGTTTCAGTGACCTCCCGTAGTCCATGTTGTTGCTTAGGATATGTGGTGTGCGGAAATATAGTGGGGTTTTTATGACACATTTTGTTTTCTTTTTGAGAAGGAACTTCTGAGTGTGGTAGCTGTCTTCCATAGCAGGAGAAAGAAGACAAGGAATATGAGAAAGGATTGTAGGAGACCATAGAGTTACTAGTAATATTCTGAGATTTCAGACACTCAGCTGAATTTTTTTAATGTCTCTTGGAGCTGAAGTAATAGAAAGAACCAAAAGAAAAATACCTTCCAAATATAAAATCACAGTATGTGCTCGTTAACAAAAGCAGTAGCAGAAATGAAGATGACATGGTAAATTGGACAGGGGAAAAAAAAATCTCATTTAATATTGCTAACGGGGTGGGGAGGAAAACTTATGTAGAAGTTGGCAGTAGAAGTCAATCCTCGGTATTTTTTTCTGGAAAAGCAGGGGATCAGAAGAACAAATCTTGGCAGATGATGAGCAGAAAGGGCTTTGGATGCATCAGCAGGGGAATAAGTGAATAATAAGTATTACAACTGTATATGGCGTTAGAAAAATAATTAATGAACACCATTTAGTTCAAGGTAGCACATGTCAAGATGGATGTTAAAATGCTTCCTAGTTCATCTTTTTTTGGGAAGAACTACTACAGGAGGTATTTAAGATCTACAGAATCTACTGGGTGAGAGACTGGAAGTTTGATGTGTTTTGCTTCTTAGCGGATGGTTAGGACATGTCTTGATCATGATTTGTAAGGCCATATAGAGATTTGATACCAGATGGTTCTTAATCTAGCAAAATTTATGTTAGCCTGAGATCCTGTGGATGAAAATTGTTACAAAATGTGGATTAGGTCTTGGAACAGAGTCCCCAGGGAAATGGAAGTTTCTTTCATCAAAAAAAAGTGTTTCAATAAAAAATGTTTATGTTGCTTTGGAAAGACCTGCAGTGGGTCTGCAAAATGTGAGCAGTGGGATAGGAATTGCTGAGCAGAGTTCTTGGCCTGGTGTAGAATACCGTGCTGCTTGATTATAGCAGTACTTTCTAGTCTTAGAAGTTATGAAGCAATGTGGTTAAATGACAGTGTGCAAGCTTAGAAAATACTTAATTGTGGGCATGGGCAATGAGGCTCCAGTGCTTTAATTTCAGAGAAATCTTACTGGGTGCACCAGACAGATTTAGTGCTTTTCTCGTAAAGGGCTTTGTAGTAGAAACATGCACAGATCTCTTTCAGGGATCGGTATCATTGAAGCAGGTACTTTGCAAGTCCATGGTCCATTTTTCTGACCTGAAGAAGCCTACAGTATAATTAAAAACAAAACTTGCAAATTAATGGAACAAATGTGGAAAGCAAAGACACAGATACATACTTTGTATCACAAAGTAAGTATGATAGGTTTAGGTCTTGAAAGTGCCAAATTATTGGTGTTTTCATGGTAAATTCATATAAGCTTTTATAGCTGCCTCTGAACTATGGC